GCACTGCCCCATGGTCACTTGACCCCCTGAGCATGTACCCTAGGGAACCACTTCACTGCGCCCAAACATTGGATGGTCCTACTCAGGAGACAGAGTATCACTGGGTGTGGCTCCCTGGCCCCCTACACACTGCTTAGGGGGTCAAGTGACCGTGGGGCTTAGGAGACCCTTCACATCCCCCCCCCCAAAAAAAAACACAAAAAGCTCATAGTCCACAGCCATGGTCCTGAGTGAAAGAGAAAACAACAGAACGTGCTGAGCTTCTGCCGTTTGTGTCAACTTAAAGACACATGCATCAAGGCAGGGGACATGACCTACAAGAATGCGTTCCAGCCCGCCTGATTACAGATCCTGTCTGTGGAAGGCCCTGATGAGGCCCGGTGGTATGGGATGATTGAAGGAGTGAGTGAAGGAACAAGGGGTGGAGCAAAACAATGAGTGGATGATTGAAGGAATGAATTAATGAATGAGTGGATGAATGGACGAGGGAATGAACGAAGCAATCAATGGGTGAAAAAATGAATGGATGGATGAGTAAAAGAATGGATAGATGAGAGAATGCATGAAGCAATGAATGGGTTAAAGAGTGAATGACTGAATGAATGGATGAGTGAAAGAATGGATAGATGAGTGACTGAGTGAAAGAATGAATGGATGAGTGTAAGAATGAATGAGTGAATAAACAAAAGAATGAATGAGTGAGGGATGGATGAGCAAATGAATGAGTGAAAGAATGAATGAATGAGTGAATGAATGGACGAATGGATGAATGAATGAGTGAATGAATGGATGAATGAATGAGTGAATGAATGGATGAATGACTGAATGAGAATAAATGAGTGAAAGAATGGCTGCGTGAAGAATGAATGAACGAATGAATAAGTGAAAGAATTAATAGAGGAATGAATGAATGAGCGAAAGAATGAACGAATGAATAAACACCCGAGTGAGAGGGCCATTGCACAGACCAAAGGGAAGCGCCTCCGTGGGCTGTGGGGTGCACGCCCCTCCCAGTGGTCCAGGGGGGTCCAGGAATGGTCTCCTGAGGCGCTGCTGTCCCGGGGAGGTCTGGGGACCGGGGCGGGCATCAGGCCCTGCGATGCTGCCGGCACATCCCCCCCGGACCTGCCTTCTCCTGGCGTCTCTCTTCTCATTCCCAAGCTAAGTGTCCGCTGGGTTAGAAATGGCACCACTGGGTCTGGAGCAATACCACAGCTAGTAGGGCGTTTGCCTTGCACGCGGCCAACCCGGGTTCGATTCCCAGCATCCCATATGGTCCCCTGAGCACCGCCAGGAGTAATTCCTGAGCACAGAGCCAGGAGTAACCCCTGTCCATCGCCGGGTGTGACCCAAAAAGCAAAAAAAAGGCGCCACTGGCTGCCACAACAGGGAAGGGCGCAGCCTGAGCATCACCTTCCAGGCCGGAAGGGCCACACTGGTACTCGGCCCAGGAGATGCCGGAGACTGAACCCGGGGCGGCTGCCTGCAAGGCCAGCCCCCTCCCCCGGGCCGCGCCCCGGCGCCCAGAGCAGGGCTCTTTGGCTAACGTGCTTTGCGGGGGCGGGTGGTACTGGGGGGGGGTGGGCGCTGGGAGGACGCTTGGCACAAAGGGCGAAGGCCGAGTCCGCAGTGCACATGCGCAGTGCAGGCGGCGACTACAGGCTGGAGAGGCCCTGCCCATTGGCAGAGCACGGGGGCACGGGTGGCCGCTGGTGTCACGTCCCGGCGTCTCGTGACATGGACACAGTCGTGACATGGACCGTGAGGATTTTTTCCCCCTTGCGGGTTTTGGGCCCCACCCGGCAATACTCAGGAGTTACTCCCGCCTCTGAACTGAGGGGTCACTCCTGGAGGTGCTCGGGGGACCCTAGGGTTGCCGGGGATTAAAAAAAAAAAACCTAGGTGGCCTCGTGCAAGGCAAGCGCCCTCCCCGCTGTGCTATCGTCAGGGGCCCTGCACTGTGTGTTTTTTCTCTAAGCCAGGTGGGAAAAACCCAGACAAGAGGCTCCAGTTCCCCCCTCCTCTCTTCCTCTCTCTCCCTCCCTCTCCCTCCCTCTCCCTCTCTCCCTGTCTCTCCCCATCTCTCTCCCTCTTCTTTCCCTCCCTCCCTTTTTTCTCCCCCTCCCCCACCGCCCCAAGGGTGGTCATCTTGTTCTCCAGAATGTCCTGATCTTCTGATCCCTGTGCATGCCCTCTCTCCCCCTTTGACCGGCTGCTCCTGGTGGTGTGCTGGGGGCCTGCCCGAGTCTCTGGCCCCTTGGAGCTGGTCCAGGGCTGCCCACTGTCCCGTGGCTCTGTAGACCCAGAATCCATCTTTTCTTAGCTTCTTTCCCCCCCTCCCCCCCATCCAACCAGCCTCGGGACTGGAACGGAGGGTTCCGGTGTCCGAGCTGCACATTCTCACCTGGGGATCCAGACCCGCGTGCCTGTGGTACATTTCTGGGCTCTCTTTGCTCCTCTGTGAAATGGGATTCATCCTGCAGGCGCTGGGTGCAGGGAGGGGGGCGCCCCCGTGCACGGCTCTCACCGGCAGCTAAATATAAACCGGGGCCTCCTTTGCACTCCCACTGCCTCTGTCCTACTTCCAGCCCTCACCAGCGGCCTGCATGGCTCCCGCCACACGCCTGCCTCCATCCCGCCAATCTGCCCTCTCAGCTGTCAGCCTGCTCTCCCCAGTCTGGAACCTGATGCGACGCCCGCTGTCGCCCCCCCCCCACCCTCAGCCCCCGCCACCCGCCCACCCACCCAGTTTCTCCCTGACTGCACGCTCCGAGGGAAGCCCCTCAGTCAGAGGTGGGGTTGGGTGTAGGGGGGCGTCCTTGTCTACGGAAACCTGTTCCCCCACACCCAGTCTTCCTCTGCTTCCTCCCCCTCTTTCCAGGGAGGAGGATGGGAAATAGTAGATTCCCAGTGCAAGGTGCTGTAATGGTACTTGGGCGGGAAGGAGGTGAGGCGATGGACAGGAAGGATAAGGTGATGGACAGGAAGGAGATCAGGTGATGGACAGGAAGGAGGTCAGGTGATGCACAGGAAGGATAAGGTGATGGGCATTGCTGAAGCTTAGCCAAGTTAAGGCAAAGAATAACCTATCCTTGGGCCTGGAGCAATAGCACAGCGGGTAGGGCGTTTGCCTTGCACGCGGCTGACCCGGGTTCGATTCCCAGCATCCCATATGGTCCCCTGAGCACCACCAGGAGTAATTTCTAAGTGCAGAGCCAGGAGGAACCCTGAGCATCACCACGTGTGACCCAAAACACAAAAAAGAAAAAAAAAGAATAACCTATCTTTTTCTCTTTACCAAAGAGAAGAGACAAGATAGTGATTGTGGGGGGCAGAATGATAGTACAGCAGTTGGGAACCTACTCTGCATGTGGCTGACCTGGGTTCGATCCCCGGTATCCCATAGGGTCCCTCGAGCACCGCCAGGAGAAGTTCCTGTGTGCAGAGCCAGGAGTAACTCCTGAGCATCACCCACGTCGCACAAAAACAAACATAAAAATAAGATCTGGTGATTTTATTTCCTTGTGTTCCCCCCAACCTTGATTCAGACTCTGGGGCAAAGAGTTCGACTGGGCTGTAACCCAGAATGTGTTGGTGGGGAAGAGACACGTGTGTGTGTTGGGGGGGAGGCTCATGCCCCCTCTGGGCACCGTGCAAACCTCATGCCTCTGTGGAGGTGGCTTGGGAGTGAAGGAGCGGGGTCCTGTGTGGGTTCCCCTACTCCCAGGCTGCTCATTCCTGAGCTGTCTCCTAGTTTTGGGAGAAAACCCAGGGACAGATAAATGCAGACCCCCATCATTCGGGTGCTCGCGCCAAACCCGGGCCCCCAGGACTGGGCGGAAGGTGCTGCCAAAGCCTCGGCACAGATGCCCTTGTTCGGCCACGCCACCCCGGTGGCCTCCGGGCTGGGCCCTCCCTGGGGGATCCCGAGGCAGCACTCGCCTTGGAAACAGTCATGCAGATGTAGTGTCTTCCCTGGGCTGCTGGGTAGGAGTCCGTGGGACCCCGGCCTCCCCCATCTCCAAATGAAGTCTTTTTTTTTTTTCAATTTATTTTGCTTTTTGGGTCACACCCAGCGATGCTCAGGGGTTACCCCTGGCTCGCTCTGCATGCAGGAATTACTCCTGGTGGTGCTTGGGGGACCCTATGGGATGCTGGGGATTGAACCCAGGTTGGCTGTGTGCAAGGCAAACGCCCTCCCCACTGTACTATAGCTCCAGCCTCCCAATGAAGGTCTTATGTGGGGTATTCCCCAGGGACACGATCAGAATATGCCACTCATGGTCACCAGGATTCTGCCTTCCCTTTGGCAGAGGGACCTTTCCAGCCCCAGACTGGGGGGTTGCTTGCCTCCTTTGGGGGGTTTATTGGTCGAAACCAACAGGGCTGGGCCGCTTAGGCCCACTTAGCCACCTGGGTGCTGGGCAGGCACAGTGGGGACCCCGTTAAAGTTGTTCGTCCCAACACCCCCTTGATTGGGACTTGGCACCTTCGTGGCTCCTGGGTATGAGGGAGGAAATCCAGGCTCAGGGCTGGGAGGGACTTGGGGGAAGGTCTAGCCCCAGGCGAGGCGGCTGGGTTCGAGTCTGCGTGCCTGGCCTGGCCTGCCAAATGCTTTCCCTTCGGGTCAGAGCCTCCATGGCGGATCTGCATCCCCTGCCGCCTTCCCCAGAAACCCCCAACCCCACCCAGGACCCCCAACATCTGCTCTGACTGTGGGACGTGATTGTCACCTCAGGTCACCTCAGCACATGCGATGGGGGAACCTCTGTCCCTCTGGACCCACCCAAATCAGTCTGTTCTGAGTCTTGGTTGCCTTTTTGGGTCCCGAGGTGGTTCCTGCGAACAGGGCACAGGGGACCACACCAGACCCGGGCTAGAGGGATAAAGTCACTGGTCACCGGTCATGGGGCGGAGCCCATCCCCCACAGCCCTGCCCGCCCGCCGGGCCCCAAGCCTACCCCTACCCCTGCCCCCCCACCCCGGTTTCTTTCTTGCAGCATCCTGGCGACGATCGGGGCGGAGTTCGACCTGCGGACGCTGCGGGCAGTGCGGGTGCTGCGGCCGCTCAAGCTGGTGTCCGGCATCCCAAGTACGTGAGTCTCTACACCAGCCAGCAATCAGCGGGCGGGGAGGGGAGCCCTGGGGGTGGGGCGGCCACGGGTCTCCTGGGCCGTGTCGGGGACGGCCCTCTTTGAGAGGCACCCTGCCCCTGCTGGGAACCTGTGTGGGTCTGGGTGAGCCGCCCCCAGCCCACTGCAAACCCCAGGCCTGCCTGGTCACCCCCAGACTCATTGTGAGTGCCCACTATCCGCCAGGGGCCATGCGAGCCACGCGAGGTGCCACCCGCCGTCTTGTTCTGTTTGCCCAGTCCAGGAGTCTCCAGCTGGCCAGGAGCTCCAGTTGGCGGACTCGCTGGCGCAGTAGCTGGGAAGCAGCCGAGCTGAGCGTGCTCTGGAAATGCTGGGTCCTAGGGGAGCAGCTCAGGTGCGAGGCAGGCGCCAGGGGTCCGGGGCCGAGTTTGAGTAACCAGGACCACGTCCGAGCCACCTCCATTCCCAGCTGCTCATCTTAGTCTGGCACTTCTGCCTCCCTCTGTGACAGCCGCCTGCAGGGCGGAGGGTTGGGGAGGGAGGTCAGGTCGAGATGCAGCACAAGAGAAGCTCATGCGAGAGAGCTGAGCCAGCGCATCACTGTCTCAGATGACAATTTGACAGCTGTGGTGACTGAAGGGAGGAGGGGAGGAGGGCGACGAGGGTGATGACAACGGGGATGATGTCCATGGTGGTGGCAACTGAGAGCGATGATGATGGTGATGGTGATGATGGTGATGGTGGTGGTGGTGATGGTGATGGTGGTGATACAGGTGATACAGGTGATGGTGGTGGTGACAGTGACAATGGTGATGGTGGTGATGCTAATGCTGTTGGAGGTGATGGTGATAGTGGTGATGATGGTGATATGTTGATGGTGATGATGGTAAGTGATGGTGATGTGGTGATGGTGGTGATGGTGGTGATGGTGATGGTATTGGTAGTGATGATGATGCTGATGAAGGTGATGATGATGGTGGTAAGGATGATGGTGATACAGGTGATGGTGGTGGTGATGATGGTGATGGTGGTGATGATGATGGTGATACAGTGATACAGTGATGGTGGTGGTGACAGTGATGATGGTGATGGTAGTGATGCTGTTGGAGGTGATGGTGATGGTGGTGATGATGGCGATGTGTTGATGGTGATGATGGTGGTGATGATGATGGTGTTGGTAGTGATGATGCTGATGAAGGTGATAGTGATGATGGTGATGGTGGTAAGGATGATGGTGATACAGGGGATGGTGGTGGTGATGGTGATGATGATACGGTGGTGATGGTGATGATGGTGATGGTGGTGATGGTGATGATGGTGATGGTGGTGGTGGTAGTGACAATGAAGATGCTGATGGTGGATGATTACAGTGATGCTGATCTTGACATGGATGATATGGTGAGGATGCCATTGACGACGATGACATGAAGACGATGATGAAGTGCCCTGGACTGTTCCACTTTACAGCAGGTTTCTCTCGCCAAGCCTGCGGGACATGGTCCCTCTGCATCACCATTTTGCACCTTTCTTGCTTTGTTGTTCAAGTTTGCTGCCAGCTGTGCTGTGAGGGATCCCCAACACCCCCAGAGGGTGCCCCAAACCCTGCCAGGAGGGATCCTTGAGCGCAGAGCCAGGAGTCAGCCCTGAGCACCACCAATGTGACCCAAAATAAATGAGTTAAGGGTTGGGGCTCAAGTGGTGGAACTGGTGCCCAGCATAAGCCAGGCAGTTTGGCCCTCGGCCTGGCATGGTCCCGTGGTCACAGCTAGCCCCTGTGAAATAAACAGGCTTAAAAATCCCAAGTGAGAGGGGGCTGGAGAGATAGCACAGCAGGTAGGGCGTTTGCCTTGCACACGGCCGACCCAGGTTCAATTCCCAGCATCCCATATGGTCCCCTGAGCACCGCCAGGAGTAACTCCTGAGTGCAGAGCCAGGAGTAACCACTGTGCATCGCCAGGTGTGACCCAAAAAGCAAAAAAAAAAAAAAAAAAAAAAAAAACAAACCCAAGTGAGGGCTGGAGCAATAGCACAGCGGGGAGGGCGTTTGCCTTGCACACGGCCTACCTGGGTTCGATCCCCGGCATCCCACAGGGTCCCTGAGCATTGCCAGAAGTGATTCCTGCATGCAGATCCAGGAGTAACACCTGAGCATCGCCGGGTGTGGCCCAAAAAAGGAAAAAAAAAAAACAAAGTGCCAGTAGTCCATGGGGGGCTCGTCCCTGTGCTGGTCAGCCCTGCCCAGCGCTGCCCCATCCCTGGGGTCCTGGGGAGGGGGCACCCACTCACCGCCTCTTTCTGTGTCCCCACAGGCTTGCAGGTCGTGCTGAAGTCCATCATGAAGGCCATGATCCCGCTGCTGCAGATCGGCCTCCTCCTGTTCTTTGCGATCCTTATTTTTGCAATCATAGGCTTAGAGTTTTATATGGGGAAATTTCATACCACCTGCTTCGAGGAGGGCACAGGTGAGTCCACGGGGGCCGCGGCATCGGGCTGCTGGCTGGGGTGTGGAGAGGTTGGGGTTTCCACTTTCCCTTTGGGAGCAACAGTCTCCCCCAGAAGCCCCAAGACCCTCCTCGCGGGGAGCAAACTCTGCAGCGGGGAGATTCGGGCTGCTCCCAGGCCTGGTTCTGGGGTCCCCTGCAGAAGCTTTCCCGGGCACGGGACGCAGTCTCCTTGGAGTGTGGGGGTGTGCATCTGAGAGGCTCCATCAGGCCGGCATCACTGTGGGCAGGGGTCTTCCCCGGGCACCTCCTGGATTCAGAGTCGGGACCCAGAGGGCTGGGGGCTGCTCCAGGTTGGAGTGCAGGCCGCTGTGAGCACACTTCTGTCCCATGTGCCACCCTGAGAACTGCTTGGGAGAATGGCCCTTCCCCCACTCCCACGGAGGCCACGTCAGCTGGACACTTGCCTGTGTGGGATGCAGGAATGGCAGTGTTTGACCAGTGTCTGCCCTCTGCAAGGAGACCCCTGCTGGCTGCTGCAGGGCTGAGGAGAACAGAAGGTGTCTGCAGGGGGGAGGAGGGGGAGGAGGGGGCACCGGATTGATGACGGAAGTGATAGTGATGGTGGTGATGGTGATGGTGGTGATGATGGTGGTGATGATGATGATGATGGTAGTGATGATGGTGATGGTGACAGTGATGGTGGTGATATGTTGTTGGTGTTGATGATGGTAATGGCGATGGTGATGTGATGGTGATAATAATGGTGGTCCTGGTGTTGGTGACTGTGGTGGTGATGATAGTGATCGCGATGGGGTTGGTGCAGGGAGGCCAGCCTGTCTCCGGAAGGAAGTGGTCAGCCCATTCACGCCCCTGGAGAAAGGAGACTCAAGTGTGGCGCCACTTGGTTCCCCCAGACCATAAAGGCACCCCCAACCAGGGAGTCACGGCCTCTCCCCTCCCCCACTGGGCCACTCCCCACATCTTAATATCTGGGCCCAAGAGGGGGAGGGGCACCCAGAAAACAGGCCCAGAGGGCAGGGGCTCAGCTCTGTCTGGGGAGGCTGCGTCTCCACCACCCACAGCACCTTCAGGGGCCTGGAGCTGCTGCACCCTTTCCCTCGCTTAGCTCCAGCTCCCATTTCTCTGCTGGCCGATGAGTCCCGGGCCCAGCACTGTGGAGGGGCGTGGCCTGGCCTGTGGCCCCCACTGTTGGATCCCCCGAGGAGAATGATCCCTCAGCACAGCTGGGCGTGGCCTCCCAAATTAACCTCAGTGGTTTCTGGGTCACAACTGATGATGCTCAGGGGTTACTCCTGTCTCTGTGCTCGGGAATTGCCCCAGGGCGGGGCTTAAGGGACCTGCGGGATGCGGGGATGGAGCCCACACTGACCACAGGCAAGCCCAGTGCCCTCTCCGCTGTCCTCTCACGCGGATTCTGGGATCATGAGAGTTTTCGATTTGGGGAAGAGGGTCCCCCCACCTGCTCCACCCTGTCACCCCACAAACAGCTGCTGCGTCGCCCCAGACCAGAAGGAAGGAGGCCGTGCTTTGCTTTCTCAGAGCCGCCCCCTCCCGCTCCTCCCCCGGCTGCTGAAGTCGTCCCAATCTGGGCTGTCCTAATTATTTCTTCCCGATGAAGAAGGTGTTAATTGAGGCAAAGCTATTTCTGCACTGGCCCTCACCCTGGCAGGCAGAGATCAGATCGCAGGGAAGGGATGCAGGGCTGCGCCCTGGGAAAAGGTGGCGGGGCAGTGCGACCCCTGCTCCTGGGGATTTCTCTCTTTCTCTCTCTCCCTCCCTCTCTCTCCCTCTCTCTCCGTCTCTCCTCCCTCTCTCTCTCCCTCTCTCTTCCTCCTTTTTTCCTCTCTCTCCCTCCCTCTCTCTTTCTCTCCCTCCCTATCTCCTACCCTCTCTTTCTCTCTTCCACTCTCTCCCTCTCTTTCTCTTTCCCTTTTCTCCTCATCATCCTCTCTCTCTCTCTCTCTCTCTCTCTCTCTCTCTCTCTCGTTTCTTTCCAGCCAGGAGGGCAGAACCTGGGCTTCGGGCCGGGTGAAGGTGGGACTGGGGGAGTGGGATAGGGAGGGAGGGAGGTGGGGGGGGACCCCCAGAGGGTTGGAAGCCTCCATTTAGAGCCCAGCGGAAACGCTGGGGATTAAAAATATAAGGCGTGTGAGTAAGAGACAGATACACACAGACACCCAGGCAGCAGGTTAATTTTAAAATGTATTTATAACCGAATTCTGCAAGCTCTCCTGGACCGTTGTGTTTCTAGAGCGCTCAGGATGGGTGGGGGCGAGGGGAGAGGAGGCGTGGGGTTCCAGGGCAGGAACACCCGTGGCGGGGAGGACTCAGAGGGCTGGAGCGCATGTGGGAGCCCTGGACATCAGGTTCCTCTCAGCTCCCAACACCTTCAGGTGTGATCTCTGAGCCCCCCCCCGCCAGGAAAAAAACCCAACAATACTGCAAAGAGACAGCTATTCAGCAGTTGTTTCTGCAATCCGCGCATTGAGGCTGGAGCAATGGTACAGTACTAATGGCGTCTGCCCTGCAAGTGGCTGACCCGGGTTCAATCCCTGGCACCCCATATGGCCCCTGGAGCACCTCCAGGAGTGATTTCTGAGTGCAGAGCCAGGAGTATCCCCTGGGCATTGCCGGGTATGACCCTCTCCCCTGAAAAAATATTCGGGCAATGCCTGAGAGATGCCCCAAGTGGAAAACAAATAAGACAGCACTTTGCTTCCGTTTGTAGTTTGATCAAGGCTTGGGGTTTGCAGCCAGCTCCTAGCAGTGAGTGCAGATGCTGGATCTTATTCCCAAATTGCAATGTTCGGGAACTCTGCTAGCCCGGCCACTGGCTGGGCATTGAGCAGCGGGGTGAAGGTTCCAGAACAGAGTCAACCTCCCATCCCCCGGCAATGTTGCCATCCATGAGGGGCGGCTGCCCAGCCCTTCCCCACCCCCCCGCCCCCCACCCCCACCCCTGCCTCCTGCCCTTGCGCCTTCCTCTGCCCGGTATTGCCGAGGTGGTCCTGAGGTCGATGGAGTTGTGTCTCTGTGCCGACTGTCCCGGGCAGCGAGGTCGCCCAGCTGTCCTGCGTTTACTGCACAGTGTGCCCCTACTGTGGGCCAGTGGGCCTCGCCCTGGCCGCTCTGGGCCAATGGTTCTCACCCTGGCTGCACTGGACCAATGGGGACTCGCCCTGGGCACTACACTGGGCCAATGGGACTCGCCCAGGTCTCACTGGGCCAATGAGGACTCGCCCCATTCACTGCACTGGACAAATGGGGACTTGCCCTGGGCTCAGCACTGGGCCTACGGGGGCTGCGGGAGTGTGTGAATGTGTATGTGAATTCATGCTTGTGGACGGAAGCTTCTCTTCTCCCTCCCCTTGGACCCATCCCGATCCAGACCGTGCTGTGAGCCCCGCATCGACCGGAAGCCACCCATTGGTTTCCTGCAAAAGGGGCAGCTATTGGCACGGGTCTCCTTTCTGGTGGCATTTTCACAATCTGCCTTCTGCTGTTTGGGGAGAAAGCTGGGCTCCTAAGCCTAAGGGTAAGAACTGTGTGTTCTGGTCTCCCTCGCCCCCAGAACAGCTCCCCGAGCCCAGTACATCTCAAGGAATTAAAAGAATAATAACAATCCATCCGGCTACAGAATAAATGCCAGTCGATCATTGCCCGAAGGAGATTGCCCAGAGAGACTGCACCCACCTCACCTCTCTCAAAGCTCAGGGCACCTGGGCTGAAATTGAGAATCCAAAATCTGGTCCCTGGCTACCGAGTTGTTCGGCTGGAAATCAGTTATGAAAAAGATGACATTACAACTTTGCAAAGAGGGAAGACGTTATTTGTGGACGGAAGGATAGAAAGTCTGGGGTTAACTTTAAAAGTGTTTTTTTCCGGCCGAGGAGGGAAAAGGAGGTGCCTGCAGCTGGTGGCGTTGAGGTGGTGACTGGTTCCAAGGAGCTCCGCCGACTGGTCTGTGTTTGTGTGTACCTGGCATTTTTCTTTTCTTTCTTTTCTTTCTTTTCTTTTCTTTTTCTTCTCTTTTCTCTCTCCTTCTCATTCTCCTTCTGCTCCTTCTTATCCTTAGTTTTCTGTGGGTCAGAGACTAAATAATTGTACACGTTGAAGGAGGTACTTGGGCAGTGCAGGTAACAGGCATGATAAATCTTACGGGCTGCAGCTAAAGCTGGATTTCAAGGGCAAATGATAGCAATCCATCTGAACCGTTCCGAGGTGAGTACGCTTAGGAGACAGCAGTGTGAGGAGCTTCCCTTACCCTCATCCCTTGCCCATCCTGGATCAATCCCCAGCACTGCCTAGGGACCCCCTGAGTAGTGCCAGGAGTGACCCCTGAGCACTGCAAGGTGTGCACTATTCCCCCCAAACCCAACTAAAATAAATTAATATCGAAAGCAATCTCCCAGGCCAACACAAATTCAATTTCCAGAATCTCATATGGTCTCCCCAAACCCTCCAGGAGTGACCACTGGGCTCAGTGCGAGGAGTTAAGTCCTGAGCACAGCTGGATGTGGCCCCCAAACAACAAAAACAACAAAAGTGAAAAAAAATCAAATGTTCAGAAAAAGACGAAGCATTGGTCCCTTGGGGTCTTCTGCAGGGAGTGGGGGTGGGGGAGGGATGGCATCTGGGGCTCCCACATACAAAGCTGCACTCCGCCCCCAGGCCTCTCCCCGCCTCCCTCTTTTTCTTTTTCTCCCCCCCCCACCCGATTTCTTTCCACCGTATCCGCTGACCCTCCTGACTCCGCTTCACCCTCTCCTCTGACCTCTTTCCCTCTCACAGACGACATCCAGAGCGAGTCCCCTGCTCCATGCGGGACAGAGGAACCCGCCCGCACTTGCCCCAACGGGACCAAGTGTCAGCCCTACTGGGAAGGGCCCAACAACGGGATCACGCAGTTCGACAACATCCTGTTTGCAGTGCTCACGGTTTTCCAGTGCATCACCATGGAAGGCTGGACGGACCTCCTCTATAATGTAAGCAAGGGGCGGAGCCAGGTGGCTGGGGCGAGGCTACTCGGCTGGGGGCGGGGCAAAGAGGCCGGGGTGGGGCCAGACGTCCCTGGTGAGGCTGGTCCCCTCCCGCGGCCTGGCTCTGTCCCCAGGTAGCTCTCACAGCTCTGCCAGAACTTGGAAGACTGGGGGCTGCGTCAGAACCGTAAGAGGGGCAGACCGGAGGGTGCATGAGGATCTCAGAGCTGCCGGACCAGGCCCGACTTTGCACAAGGATGAGGGAGGGATAACCCCAGTCACCGCCAGGCGATCCGGGTGATGGTGGACTTCATCTGCAGGAGGCCCTTTTGTATCTAGGTTCTCTGTGACTGCCCCCCACCCGCCTGCTGAGAGGGCCTGGGAGAGCAGACTCAAGGGGCTGGGCCGGCTCTCCCCACACCACGAGCCAGTGCGCATGTCCTGCTTCTAAATTCCGTTCTGACCTTCCCAGCGCTTGCGTTTGAGTGGACGCGAAGGAGAAGCACACATGTATAATTTATTTAATAGTTTTTAAATATTTACACAGATGAGGTGGGCCTCTGTCAGGCCTCATGTAGGTTTTGGAAATGTTAGGGATGGGTCCGATGCAGTCCCACACTGACCTCTCCCTGTGCTGGTTCCAGCCCCCAGCCTGCACATAACACACACACACACACACACACACACACACACACACACACTAAAATTGCTGGTTAAGATTCTACCACTTGGACCCAAGAAGTGGAAAGCAATAGCAGGCATCCTTCCACTTGGCAGGGCAGCAGAATTCTCTGCTGGGCAGGGTGGGCCATCCTTAAGAAATCTTCTCCCTTTTGAGGATAAGCAGCGGAAGGATTTTTACAAGAACCCATTTTTTGAATCACTGGCTCATTTTAAGATGGGGTAGAGATAGGGAGGTCAGCTTGAGAGTGGGCAGTGAAAGGAACAGGCCATGGACAGTTGTTCACGTTGCTCACGGCACAAATTGTGGTCTCCCAGGAGCACCATTCAAGAATAACCCTTGTAGATGTCCACCATGAGGAGATGGCAGATTGACAGGTACAAAGGCAAGGGGCAGTTGTTCTAATTTGCATGAAGATATCACCTTACACATTATCTCTTTGAACATGCCACTGATCAGAAAGTTTGCCTCTCTCTCTCTCTCTCTCTCTTCCTCTCTCTCTCTCTCCTCCTCCTCCCTCCTTCCTTTTCCCTCCTCTCTCTACAAAGATTGAAAATGTAAAGGCCCCCTCCTTCCTGCCCCCTGACTTTGCAAGCCCCTTTCTGTGGCTCGGGAGTTGTGGACCCCCAAGCAGCCCCAGTTCCCAGCTCTGGCCTCTGCTGCCGTCAGAGCTGAGCGGGTGGGTGTGGCCATGGAGCTTGGCATTGGGGTGCAGAGGCATCCTATCCCAGTACCTTCAATCCCCGAGTTCCGGGCCCCGCGGCGTGGGCCAGGCTTCTGGGTCCCAGAACCTCATGTCCTTTGGCCTGGCACCGTCAGGATCCATTCTTTGGATTCTTAATTATTCATGGGGCGCCTCCTGGGTGTCGGGAAGTATCCAGGGGAATCTATTGACAAGAAGCAGACTGAGATGCCCACCTGGGTCGGAGAGACAGGCAGGAACAATCAGGGACAGTCAGCAGATGGGGTCACCTGGGGTAGGGGTGACATAACAGAGATAGAAGCTTGGGGTTGTGGGGGGAGCTAGTCTGGGCCAGGCTATCCAGGAGGGCTCCTTTGAGGAGGTGACACTTTCCGGGGTGGGGGTGGGGAGAGAAGGAGGGAGCCAGGCAACTATGAGTGCTGAGCCCTGTTTATTTAATGGAGGCGCATCTAGTGATATTCGGAGAGCCTGACACAGCTGATAGCACAGGCTTGACTGAACCCCTTCCCCGTCCTCCCTCCCGAGACCAATAGAAGGAGCTCCAGCTGCCCCCCCCCAAGGTGCTTCCATCACACTAGGCCCCCTCTGGGGCTCCCCATTTCCGGTCATTTTTGTTTTCACCCCACCCCCTTGGCTTCCTGGTTCTTGTCCTCTTGGGGGTGGGGTCAGCCTGTTTGCCTCCACTGACCTCATTGCCATTGGAGATTCCTCTCAGGACGTGTTCCCTGGTGTCACCTGCGTGTGAGGGACCGAGTGTCATCAGGAAGTCCCGCCTCTGGGGACGGGGGGGGGGGGGGAGGGGGGGAGGGGGTGGGCACAGAAAGTCGTGGGAAGCGGACAGGGGGCAGGGCGGTAACGGGTCCCAGGGAGCGCTGCCTTCTGCCTCGGCAGGCGTGGGGCACCGCTGCCAAGTCACAGACTCACACTGCGCTTGCTGCAGGGCACCGACGCCCACAAGCCCGTCTTTGCTTATTGGCTTGGGGGTCACACCCGGTGATGCTCAGGCGTTGCTCCTGGCACTCAGGGATCTCTCCTGGCGATGCTTGGGAGACCATCTGGGGTGCTGGAGATCGAACCCGGGTCAGCCACGTGCAAGGCAAACGCCCTCCCTTCTCTACTCTCGCTCTGACCCCCAGAATATCATTTTAGCTCCACAAGGCCCCTCCTCCGCCTGCATTGCTTAGGTTTGGGTTTAAACCATGAACTGGGGCAAGAGGGAGGTAGATACAGTTCCGGATCTCTTTCAATCTCATGTTGCAAAAACTTGGGAGGTGGGGTTTGGGACCATACCCAGCAGTGCTCAGGGTTTACTCCGGGCTCTGTACCCAGGTATCACTCTGGTGGCACTCAGGGAACCCTCTGGGGTGCTGGGAATCAGACCTGGGTGGGCCACGTGCCAGTCAAGGCCCCTTCCCGCTGTCCTGTCACTCTGGCGCCACCAGTTGCCGAGCTCTGGAACTAACAGGGAAGGCGAGGGAGGTGGTGTGGTGGGAGAGGTGGCTGCCTGGCAGGTGGCAGACCTGGGTTGGAGTTCTGGCACCACACGGGTCCCCCGGGCACCACCAGGAGTGACGCTGACAGTGCCAGGGAGTAGCAGGGGCTCGTGCCGGGCCGGGGACTGTTTAGAATCTGCCCTTAGCCCCTTCAGCTTCCTCTTTCTCTCTCTGTCCCCAAACATCCCCCTTCTTGGAAAAGGAGGAAACTGAGACCTGACACCAGCGCCCCCCTCCCCCACTGCCCTGCTTTTCTCCCTGCCACCTCCCACAGGGAACAGGCGGGCCTGCTGCTCCCGCCTGGCTTCCCCGGGGTCCGTTTGCCCAAGACTCAGAACAGGCAGCGCTGGGGTGACACGTGTTTCCTTGTCACAGGGTCCCCCCTCACCATCTGGACGCCGACACGAGCCAGGAATCACCTCCAGCCTGCATGGGGGCCGTCCCCGACATGCACCCGCCAGATGGGCCGGAGCAGCGGGTGTGGGGGCTGTGGGGGGCTGGGGGGCAGCTGCTCCTGGGTGTCCTGGGCAGGGCAAGGACACGGGTTCCCTTTAGGCCACCGTGGGCTGAGGGACCCCTGCACACAGCCTCCCTCGATGCAGGCCCCGGAGGACCTGGCCCGGCCCCTCCCCTGCGAGGGCTGACTCCTGGCTCTGTGCTCAGAGATCACTCCTGGTGGTGCTCAGGGAACCATAAGGGGTGCTCCAGGCCAAGAACTGGACCGAGGTCAAGCACCTTGGTCAAGCACTCTACTATCTTCCCAGCCTCCCCACTCCCAACTTCTCTAAATTAAAATCACTGAGTGGAGCTGGAGCGATAGCACAGTGAGTAGGGCGTTTGACTTGCACATGGCCAACCCGGGTTCGATTCCCAGCATCCCATATCCTAAGCACCACCAGAAATAATTCATGAGCGCAGAGCCAGGAGTAACCCCTGTGCATCGCCGGGTGTGACCCAAAAAGAAAAAAAAATTAAAATCACTGAGGGCAAGGACCTGAGTACAGAGTGTAGGGCACTTGCCTTACACGCAGCCAACTGACCGAGTTCAATCCCTGGCATCCCATCTGGTCCTCCAGCACCGCTAGGCGTGATCCTTGAGGGCAGAGCCATGAGTCAGCCCTGAGCACTGCTAGGTGTGGCCCCAAAAGAAAAATAAAATAGTCATACCCCAGGGAAGAGCACTGCAGAGGAGCAGGGCAGCCAGAGAAAAGGTCCTGGGGCTGCACGCAGGCATCTGGTGTTTGCAGGGCGCTGGGGTGGCTGGGTGGCTGGAGGGGTATGCGGGTGGGAGAGGGATTGAATGGGGGTGTTATCCTGGACAGAGAGAGCCTTGGGAAAGGTTTCATTGGAACGAGGAGGAGTTTAGAAGGCTGGACTGGAAAGAAGAGGGGCCCCCACCCAAGGCCACTGGAGGCTTTACACTCCCCAGGCCACCACCCACCCCCATTTCTGTGCCCTGGGCTGGAAAATTGGGTCTTCTGAATTTCACTCTCTCTCTCTCTCTCTCTCTCTCTCTCTCTCTCTCTCTCTCTCTCTCTCTCTCTCTCTCCCTATCTCCCCCCCTCAACACCCCCTCTATTTTTTTCTGAATGAACCATTCTTTCAAAACGAGCAGAAAATGAAGCCTAAAGCAGAAGGCACTTAAGGATTTACTGGGCCCAGCCATTAGTTTGCTGAAAGAGCGTTTCTAGGGCTTTTGAAGCGGCTGGCACCTTGCTGCAGGCTGACAGCACCGATTCAGCACTTTTCCCTCCCCTTTAAGGCCATCGTGGGCAGTGGATAGCAAATACTATGGAGCAAGGGGCTGGAGAGATTGGGAATTAGGGTTTCTGCAAAGCGTAGGGAGTAGGATCAGGGGCAGAGAGGCAGAACACACACACACACACACACACACACACACACACACACACGGTACCCTCAAATCAGCACCACACAAAATCTAATGGAGACAGGTTTTACAGTGAATAAAGCCGCACACACCCCTTACCACTGAGCCGTCTCACTGGCTCCCCCAAAAGACTCCTCTGACTATTAACCCTAATGCAGGAAATTCCAATTTTCCTGTTCAAGGCAGCAAAAGAGAGTGGATTACTATTTGAGTGGGGGAATAGAACTACACTTGAGTTTATTATGGCTGGAGAGAATACAACATACCAAATTTATATCCTCTACCTCAGTTTTCCTACCCAGGGAGGGACCAGAGGGATGACATGTCACTTTTAAGTTTCTTTTCCCCTTTGGCCACACCCAGCAGTGCTTAGGGCTAACTTGAGTCTGCCTTCAGTCCTGGCAGGCTTGGGGGATCATATGGGGTGCCAGGAATTGCCACCTAGTCAGCCACATGCAAGGCAAGCACCCTACCTGGTTACACCATCTCTCCAGTCCCAACCTTGGAGGGCTCTTAAGGGGGCTGATGAGCTCAACAAAACCTGGGGCCTGGGCAGGCTGTTAGCTGGGGAGCATGTCAGTAGGATGGTGGGGTCATGGGCAGGGGTCTAAGCGTTGTCGGGCGCTGCCTGGGGGTAGGCTGGGTTGAGGGGCTGTCTCTCACCTTTCCCCGCCCTGCTTCTCACGCTCCCTCCTCCCTGCCAGGGCTGGCTTCTCTCCCGGGGCTATATTTAGCCCTACGAAACGGGGACAAGAGGCCGCAGCCACCACTGCATCCAAGGAGACTTGCAGGAAACCAGCCCTGCCTGTTTTCCAGCCCTATTCTGCTGACTTCCCTAGAACTTCTAGAACCTTGTAGAACCTTCCAAAGCCAAAGCTGCTTTGCCCCCGACCCCCACCCCAGGGGCTTGTCGGAAGCCATACATTGGCGGAAATCTGGTACATGCCTCATCCCTGGGGACCCCCTGGTGTCTGTGATAGAAGATGGCTTTGTTGGTTTCAATGTTTTAATTGTGGGGAAATATGCAGCACATAAGAAGTGTCACCTTTTTGTTTTGTTTTTGGGCCACACCCAGTGGTGCTCAGGCGTTACTCCTGGTTCTACGCTCAGGGATCACTCCTAGCAGTGCTCTGGGGATCCTATGGGGCGTCGGGAATCAACCCGGGGATGGTCGCCTGCAAGGCAATCACCCCTCCTGCTGGACTATCGCTCCAGCCCCTAAATTACCATCTTTTCAAGGGTCCGGTTTGGGCTCATGAAGCACCATCACCAGATTCTGCAACAACCCGACCCTTCATTCCCAGAACTCTCATTTGGCGAAACTGAAGCTCTCTACCCAGAAAACAAGTCTCTTCTCCAACCCCCTACCATCTAGTTCCTGTCTCTATGGTTTGAATTGTCTAGACCACATCCTATCTCTCGGGCTGTGACTCCTCTAGGCTACTTCCTGTCTCTATGGCACTGACTGCTTGGAACTTCACGTGTTGAAGAACCCCAGGGTCACTTTGTGACTGTGTTATTTCAATTCCGCATCATATCATGAAGGCACAACTATGTTATAGCAGAATGTGCTTGCTATTTAAGCTCTGTTTATGTCTCTGGGTCCAATTCCGGGTACCACCAAATAATAAACGGGATCCTCAGCACTGCCAGGACCTTCAAGTACCATGGCAGGAGCAGCCACCAAAAAATGGAATGTGTCTGGTCTACATCTGGTGGTGCTTTGGGGCTACTCCCATTTCTTCCTAAAAACGGGGAGCACTCCTGGCTACCAATCCCGTACTCACAGTGCAGCCTGACAGTTTCCATATTTAGACTTGGTTGCCCTGGGGGGCTGCCATAGCCACTCCTGTCAGTGCACAGAAGGCCCCGCATTTAGGGGCATAGAACTCGACCTTATTACATGCCAGGCATGGGCTGGGCACTGGTCCTTTGAATTAATCTCTTCAGTCCCCTCCACCTACCAAATTTCTGTGGCTTTTTTTTTCTTTTTGGGTTGTACCCGGCATTGCACAGGGGTTACTCCTGGCTCATACACTCAGGAATTACTCCTTACGGTGCTCGGGGGCCATATGGGATGCTGAGGATTGAATCCAGGTTGGCCGAGTGCAAGGCAAACGCCCTACCCGCTGTGCTATCGCTCCAGCCCTTTTGTGGCTACTTTTTTAAAAAGTGGTTACTCCTGGCTCTGTATTTAGGGAAGCTCCCTACGATGCCTTTAAGTCTTTGTGGTGACAGACATCCAGTGTTAGGCCTTCTGCATGTAGAGCTTGTGCTCAGCCCAGGGGACTATCTCCAACATCCTGCCCCAAGCCACTTTTCCTTATTTTGATTTTGGGGCCACACCTAACTGTGTTCATGGATCACTCCTGGGGGTGAATGGGGAAACTATATTCAATGCTGAGAATTGAACACGGTTGGTTACATGTACTCGAAGAGCCTGGAAAGCTACCGAGAGTATTCAATGTGCCAAACACAGTAACAAGAAGTCTCACAATGGAGATGTTACTGGGCCCGCTCGAGCAAATCGATGAACAACGGGAGGACAGTGACAGTGACAGGTTACATGTAAAGCAAATGCCCTGCCCTGCACTATCTCTTCAGCCCAAACAAAACTATGTTTTATTGAAAATAAACATACAGAAAACACAGTCATAATAAGGAAGGAACTCCATCCATTTTACACACTGTAAACAAGCAAACGTCTCAGCTGTAGAGGACCCCTAGAGGGTGCACGTGAGAGGCTCAAGCCTGGCCACCTATTTGGCATGAAGGGAAGTGAGTGTATGTGTTATTTTTTTTTTTGTCTTGCTTGACATGAAGCTGCTCAGGTTCCTTGTGATGTCAGGCACACCTTGAAGGTTGGAGGAACATGCAGTACTCAGGAAGCCCTGAATACCATTCCCAGTAATATCCAACCAACTAGGATGAACTCTTCAATGTCCAGACAGCAATGAGTTGATGTCATACCCAGCACTGTATGTTGGGAAGAGAGCCATATAGTTGTGGGACTTGAACTTGGGGACTATGCTCCAGCCTTTTGAGCTTTCTTTTCTGACACACTACCCATTATTGCTCTTCTCTCAGCTGTTGAGTATTTGGGTTGTTTCAAGGGCAGGGTTATTGTGGCGGTCTTAACTCTAAACATCTTTGCTCATGCCTTTGGCACAGACAGATTCATGTTTTTGTTTGGGGATGTCCAGGTCTGGACAATTCAGTTGGACCCTCCACTGCATTTTACGAAGTGTTTATACTTTGGGTGTGGGTTGCATTGAGTTCCATCTTACCTCCAAGTTCCTGTATTAACACACTAACACCCACCAACCCCCCCCCAGCCCTTGTGACTATATTTGGAAATGGGGGTCATTGTGGAAGTTATTCATGAAGGCACACTCATTAGGATGGGATCTGTTTCGGTAGAACTGGTGCTGAATAGAAGGGAATCAGATGCAGAGACGAGTGTTCTCACAGAGAAAATTGTCAGGGAGAGGAAGTGCCTATACAAGCTAAGGGGAACCAATATTGTCAGCAAACCCTGAGATACCATAGGAGAGGCATGGAACACTCTTCTGCAGAGACTTCGAAGATGCCAGCCCTGCTGTCCCCTCCTCTTATCTCTGGGGCCTCCAGAACTGTGAGATTATCCTTTTCTGTAGTTCTGAACCAGTGGGTGGTTCTCCAGAAAACTCATACACCATGCCTCAGCAGCCCTTCTGGTTCCTTTTCTCCCTTTTTCTCACCCAAACCTGCAGCAGTCAGTCTTTCTTTGTTATCCTTTCTGCTGGCAATATTGTTGTGCCTCCCCAGGTGAGCTTTTAAAGCCACTTGTGGTGGCCCTGCATTCTCTAGTAGTCACAGAGCTGCTGCTGACACCCCCCCCCCATTGTGCCTTTCACCAAGGACCCTCCGCTTTCTCCGGAGGCTGGTGATGTGAGGATTCCCCTAAGCCAGATGTTATGTGTATGGGTCCTGGTTCCCCACTAACTGGTCAAAATCCTGCATCCACTCATATGTAGCTAGTTCTGTAAATGTGGGTTGGCTGTTATCTTTTTTGAGTCTCAGATTCTGCATTTTTAGGGATGAACATGAGTTAGGGAGCATAGGTCATTTGCTTCAAATGTAACAAACACTGTTGGTGCTGAATTCTGTCATTCTCAGTCTTATCACTTTTCTTTCTGCCACTTGATTTTCTTTTCTTATTTTTTCAGGGGGTGGGGAGGTCAGCCAGTTCAATCAATGTGTGCCCCCATATCCCTCCTCTGAACCCTCCGTGGTGATAACCTGCCTTCTTCCCTCCTTGTCCCCCTCCCAGAGCAACGATGCCTCAGGGAACACTTGGAACTGGTTGTACTTCATCCCTCTCATCATCATTGGCTCCTTTTTTATGCTGAACCTTGTGCTGGGTGTGCTTTCAGGGTAAGTTTGCCTCCTACATTCTCACCTCCCGTCTCCAATCTCTTTCCCAGGAAAAGGAGGCAGAGCCACATTCCTTGTCTCATGCCCTGGACAGGTGGTACCGGGGACAGTGACCCTGTCAGCTGAGCAGCTGAGATCCAAAAAATTTTCCGTTTTCCAAATTTGAAATCATATGCAGTCAAACATGCGTTTCTGTAATGAGCATGCACATGGGCCTCCAAATCGTAAACCTTTTTTTTTCTTCAATCACAAAATCTAATTTTTCTCAACCCACGAAGTCAGGAATGGCAGGATGGCTCTGTGCTGCCATCAGGATCGCCAGCCACTCCTTCTAGATTTCCACCCTGACATCTTTACCAACTGCTTTACAATCTCAGAGACACCTCGAGATCTCAGAGCCGGCACAGTGCACATGTACGAGTGGCCATTCCAGACAGGAAGTGAAAACTGGTAGACAAGAAGAGGTGTGGCCTAAACAGGAAGAAGGCAGGATATAGGAACAGGTGGGACCTACTCAGGGAGGCTGGACACCGGAAGAGGCGGGACCTAGGCAGTGGTCGGTCAGTACTTCTGTTTAGGTCTCCTTGGACTGAATTACAGTGGGGCTGGAACTTTTTCTTTCCTAGAACTGCAAGGATGGAACCGACAGCTGGCGGCTGTGCCTGCAGAGTGTAGGAAATTGGCCAGTGTCCCCCCACATGTAGAAAATATGGTTTTTCCCACCTGCGTAGACGTGACTATTCTTTGTAGCAACCCCTGGCCCACCCATGGGAAACCCCTTGCCCACCCAGGAGAAACACCCCGCCTACAAAGGGGAAACGCCTTTTTTGTGTGTCTGCTTCTGCAGGGAGTTTGCCAAAGAAAGAGAGCGGGTGGAGAACCGAAGGGCTTTTCTGAAACTCAGGCGGCAACAGCAGATTGAACGAGAGCTCAATGGGTACATGGAGTGGATCTCTAAAGCAGGTGAGGTAGCCAGAGGCAGGGAGTCTACACAGTGCATCATGCCCACTGCGTGTGTGGTGACATGGGAGGGGAAGACTGAGGGAGGAGAAGGAGTGTCCGGTGGGGGCATCCTACTGTTTCTCCAGGAGTCTGGACTGTGCTGTATGAGCCTTGGGGCGGGGTTAGGAGGCAGCATCTTCTTGCAGTATAGAATACTTACATTTTCAGGCTCGGGGTGGAAACAGCACGGCGGTTAATGCATTTGTCTTGCACACAACTGTACCCTATTTGATTCCTGGCACTATATATGGACCTCTGAGCACCACCAGGAGTGATCTCTTGAGCCAGGGGCAGTATCTGAGCATGGCTGGATGTGGCCAATCCAATCCCACCCCATCTCTCTGCAGTAAAACCCAAAACTCTTCGTTCCGTTGCCTGCTGGCCAGGCCCCTCGCCTCCCTGGGCCTTTGTGTCTCTCAGTTATAACCCCGAGGGAACTGTAGCAACCACTAGATAGGGCTGTTGGGGTTTTCAATGGGATAAGTCGGGTCATTGGTTCAGCTGCCTTTCCATGCCACTGTAGAGCTGGCAGAAGAGTTGGAGGGGAGTTGGAGGGTGAGTCCTGCCTGCCAGGTGGGGGGAGACCCTTATCACCCACCGTGATAAGGTGGAGGAGGGTCCTCTAGGGAGGGGACATTTAAACAGGACCCCGAGGGTGTGAAATTGGAAGCTGGGGCCTGGAAGGGTGTTCCAGGCTGAGGGAATGGCAAGCGCTGAGCTGCTGAGTGTCCTGACAGCCAGTGTGGTTAGAGCACCTGGGCAGGAAAGAGTGTGATGTGAGGGAGGGAGTACCAGGGGAGCGGGGTGCAGCTGAGTGGCGCCAAGCCGGGTACAGGGAGGGCAGAGACACGGATGGACTGTTCCTCCTTGGGAACCCAGGGGCTCAGCTCTGCCTCCCCCCTACCCCCCACAGAAGAGGTGATCCTCGCCGAGGGTGAGACAGACGGGGACCAGAGACACCCTTTTGATGGTAACTCTGAGCCTGGGGAAAGGGGCAAGGTCCCCAGGGGGCGGTGGATGTGGGGGGCGGCCTTGGCGCTGGTCCGGCTGAGGTCAGGCAAGAACAGGAGGGGCTGGGTTTGTGGATGAGCCATGGTGTGGGGGAGGGGCCAGTGTGGGGAGGGGCCAGTTGTGAGGGAGGGGCCAGTGTGTGGGCGGGGCCAGGGGGCGGGGCCGGCTTGCTGCGTCCTCCTGTCCCCTGTCCTGCGGAAAGGGTGATGGCTTCTTCTTCTGTCATGTTCCTATTGTTGGAGCTCTGCGGAGAGCCGCCATCAAGAAAAGCAGGACCGACCTGCTGAACCCCGAGGAGGCCGAGGATCAGCTGGCCGACATCGCCTCCGTGGGTGAGTCCTGCCTGCCAGGTGGGGGGAGACCCTTATCACCCACAGTCTTGGAGAGACGGAGGCAGAGCGAGATCAGGGCTTGGGCACCAGCCTCTCGCCGCCTGTGTGCTGTGGGATGGGGGACACACTGATCACCCCACCACAATGTTGCATTTCTTAAAGTCACCCATTGAGAGCCGTCCAGAGTTGGTCCCCTAGTGGGCTCCTGTTACAGTGAGCGACAGAGCACGCAGATGGACGTCTGAGGGACAGGGGGGGGGCGACATCCTGGAGGACCGGGGTCTGAGTAGGAGTTGGTTGCAGCAGAGGCCAGCACATGAGACCAGGGGCACCCTGGCTCTCTTCCTGCCCCCCCACTCCATCTTGGCCTTCTCAAAAGTGGATACTTGGTTTCAGAAATGGGTTTCTCCCTTCTTGACAGAGTGAGAAAGCATCCAGGGCAGGACAGAGCAGGAGATTCCTGAGGAGGAAGAAATTTAGGAGAAGGAGGGAGGAGTCCAGGCAGAAAGTAGGGGAGGCCAGAGGGGGTCTGCACATACTCTCTTCTAGGCAGCCGCTGACCCTCTTACACTCTTCACTTAACCACCCCTCTGACCTTTGGGCCAGAAGTCAGCGCGTTTCCAGGGCCAGCCTGCCCGCCCTCAGGTTGGCAAGGGCACCGTTGGGCCACCGGGCTGAGTCTGTCCCCGTCTCCACCCTGGCGAGCGTGGTTGCGATGGTTTGTGTACAGTGCTTCCCCCACCCCTTGGGCGTATTTCCTTGGGGGATAATTATAGGATCAAAGATATTAACAGCTTTTCAACTCATTATTCACAGAGCCACTCTGAGTTTCGAAAGCATGGAGCCCATTTATAAAACTGCCAAGTATGCGGGTGTGCACCCCAGGCCCCCCCACTCTGAGACTCTGAGAAGGCGGGGTCCCCACCCTCCCAGAGGCTGCTTCAGTTTGGGTTTTCCCATCCAGCCACAACACCCTCCTCCTGGGCCAGACTAAACCAGTCCCAGTTGGTCTCTTTCCAGAAAATTCGTGAGTGAGGCTATTTCATGAAGGACCCCCCCCCCCCATATTTTCACAGTGAGCTAATGCTGTTTAGTTATTTGGGTCACAGCCGGCAGTGCCCAGAGCTGATTCCTGGCTCTGCATTCCAGACTCGCTTCTGGTGGTACCCAGGCAGGTGCCAAGTGGGACCTCCTCTGTCCCACTGCTGTCTTATGACACTCTCATCTGCCTCTGTTACCCCCAGGCCTCCCCTATTCCTTGGTAGTCTCAGTTCTGTGGCCCATGGCCACAGGCCAGTCATCTGCCCATGCTGCCCCTCCCCTCATCTTGTCTCTGGATACCACATGGAAGTTGAGGTCACCTGATGTATACCCATGTCACTTGTCACTTTCTTTACTTTATTGATGTCCTTTTTTTTTTTTTGCTTTTTTTTGGGGGTCACACCTGGCGATGCACAGGGATTACTCCTGGCTCTGCACTCAGGAATTGCTCCTGGCGGTGCTCAGGGGAACATATGGGATGCTGGGAATCGAACCCGGATTGGCTGGGTGCAAGGCAACCGCCCTACCCGCTGTGCTGTCGCTCCAGCCCCATGTAATGCCCTTTCATTTTGACCCCAACTCCATAGTTCCATTTTGCCAGGCAAAAGTATTTTTGTCCTTGCCCCATTTATGAAACACAAGGTAGTGGTTAAAAAAAAAAAAAGAGGAGTGAACCTCGACTCTAGTGGAGAGGACCAGGCATCTGCCCTTAATTAGCAGAAGACAGAAAGGCTGTCACGTTCCCGAGCACAGAATGTGGAGAGATGGGGTGCGGCCTGCCGGAACATCCTTTGTAAGGTGGCTGAGGCCACTTGGCCACTCCTTGTTTCAGCATTGCCACTTCCAAGATATTTCTCTGCCGTTGAGTGGGGTAGCTGCCGTCTTTGGGGTTCAGAAACAGTTTAGATAGTGCGATGGGCAGGGTTCTTTCCTTGCATGCAGCCGACCTGGGTTTCCCAGGCACCACATAGGATATCCTGAACCCCACCAGGTGTCATCTCCGAGTGCAGAGCCAGGAGTAATAAGCCCGGAGCACAGCCCCCCCCCCACCACCAAAGAAAAAAGAAAGAAATGGGAGCCTCAAACAGTTCGCCTGCTTTGCCAGACAGATGTGACTGATGAGAGACACCGGTGTAGCCTGTAGGGGGGGTCCTTCCTATCTGCCAGGAACTCTGGGATGTCGGGCAGAGGTGCCAGTGGAGACGGGGTGGCCCCTCTCCAGGTTTGACTTGCTTTCCACGCTGTGGGCACTGTAGTGATGTCATGTAGCATCCTACTCTTCCAGCTTCTTTCCCCAGCAGAGGCCACAGGGCCACATGTGGCGCAGTAGGCAGCCGGGAAAGGGGGAGTCAGCCGTGCAGGGGACCCCCGTGACTTGCTCCCTCCTATTCTCCGCCAGGCTCTCCCTTCGCCCGAGCCAGCATTAAAAGTGCCAAGCTGGAGAACTCTACCTTTTTTCACAAAAAGGAGAGGAGGATGCGTTTCTATATCCGCCGCATGGTCAAAACTCAGGCCTTCTACTGGACCGTGCTCAGCCTGGTCGCCCTCAATACGCTGTGTGTGGCGATTGTCCACTACAACCAGCCTGAGTGGCTGTCAGACTTTCTCTGTGAGTACCGCCCCGCCCCCACCAAGCCCCATTAATCCCTGCCCCGTCCAACCACTCACCGTGTGCCCCGCCCCCGAAGAGCCACGCCCCTGATGGACCCACCCCGTCAAGCCACGCCCCTCGGAGCCATGCCCCCATCTTGACCCACCTCCAAATCAAGACCCTATTCCTGCCACGCCCTCACGGAGCCATAGGACGTGCCCATAGGACCACGCCCACCGGAATATCAATTTCCCTGTCACTCTTCTTGCTGCTGCAAGTTGGGGTTCTTCAGGGCTCCCCCTGGATGGAAACTGCCTTTTCCTGGGACTCCAACTGCTTACTAAGACCGGTATTGAAGGGCAGCCCCCTAGCTAGGAGGCCCTTGGCATTTCCTGGCCAGCCTCTCCCTGCCCTCCAAGATTAAAAATCAATCACCAGGCTGGAGAACAGCCCCCGGGGACTTGGAGCAGAGACTTTGCATGCCAGAGGCCTGGTTCCCATCCCCAGCACCGCTCACTCCCCTGGAGCCCGAGCCAGGGAACCCCCTACCTAGCACCATCAGATGTGGCGCCAAAACAAAACAAAAAATGAAATTGATCATCTGTGACTGAGAGGCATTCACAAGAGACTGGTGCCTGGGGGGGTCCTCTCAGTGGTCCCCCTCGTCTCTCCTCCCTTCTTTAGACCCACCCCACTCCACAACTCTCTTGTCCCCCTGAAACCTTTGCTTGAAGATCCCTCTCTAACAAGACTGTGGGCTTCTATTCCTTCCGGAGGGACCCAGAACAACCCCCTCCTTCTGGGCCTGGATTCCAGAAATCAGCACCAACTTGTACCATCATGCTGGTCTGGTTGCCTGGCTGGGGTGCAGTAAAAGGTGGCAGAGCTCTCAACAAGTAAAGAGTTCTGAGAAGTCAACATGTATGGTGTCTGGGTGCAGAGGCCTGGCTCCCGCTTGTGGGGACCCCCACATGAGGATCCCGGAATATCATGGCTGCCTACCTGGTGACATCTCCCCCACCCCCATTTCCCAAATTCATATTAGACCCTTGTCCCCTAGATCTGAATCAACACATCAGACTGGCCTAGAGGATCCTGGGAGCCCAGGCTGGGTCCTCTCCTGGCCCTCGTTGTCTGCTCTTGTGCCCCTCCTTCAGGGAACCCCCCAGAGGCCATTTCTCCTTCCCAGAACCCTGACCTAGTTCCAGCCGGTAGTAATTGCCTCTGTCCCCCCCCCCCCCCCGAGACTCTTCCCAGCCAGGCCTCTGTGCATCCTACCTCCTCCAAGACTCTATTTTTAATCGCCCAAATTCAGGCCCCCCCAATCGCCAAGCTCTGCCTGTCCTGGTTTGGCGACAGGCAGTCGGCACTTCTGAGCCTCCCCAGCCCTGGCACTGGAGCCTCTGTCTGTAGCACCCTTCAGTACCCCCACTTCCCAGGCAGGACCCTGAGAAGTACAGTGGCCTTGCTAGGCCCACGCTGTGGTACAGAGGCAGGGTCGGAGCCCCATATTCAAGCCCCGTCCCCAGGGATCAGGTTCCAGCCCTCGTCACTGAGCCACCTAGGGGCTTGGTGCCTGCTCAGCCCCTGCCTCACCCCAAGACCCTGGGCAGGCCTTAAGGTATTGGACATCAGCCCCCTCACTCTCCCTGTGCTGTGGGTGCCCTGGCCTCAGCCCTGGTGGGTTGGTTGTTGGTTGGCTGATAGTTGGGTGGTGGGTGGGTGGTTGTTGGTTGGTTGGGTGAATAAGGTGGGTGGATGGTTGTTGGTTGGCTGATAGTTGGGTGGTGGGTGGGTAGGTGAATATAATGGGTGGGTGGGTGGTGGTTGGTTGAGTGGATAGGTGGGTGGGTGACTAGTTGGTTATCTAATTGGTTTGCTGGTTGGTTAATTAGCCAGTTGGTTAGTTGTCTGCCTCGTCAGTTTGGTGTATTAGTTGTAGTTGGAGCTAGTTGGCTCTTTGGTTCATTGATTGGTTAGTTGGTAATTTGACTGGTTGACTGGCTAGTGGCTTGGTTGGTTCCTTGGCCACTTCATTGGTCAGCTTGTTAGTTCTCATTAGCTGGTCGGTTTAAAGATGCACTAAGGGACTGGAGCCATAGCACAGTGGGGAGGGCCTCTGATTTGCATGTGGCTGACCGGGGTTTGATCCCTGACACTCTGTTGAGTTCCCCAGTGCCCACCAGGAGTGACCCCTGAGTGCAGGGCCAGAGTAACCCCTGAGCACCACCAGGTGTGAGCCCAAAATGAAAATTATAAAATATAAACTACGCTGAGCCCCCAAGAAGCCCCTGGCTGACCAGCACAGGACATAGACCCCATCAGTGCCCTGCACCCAGCGTGTCACACAGGGCAGTGGGGCCAAGGCCACAGGCCCACAGGCACCACGGAGAAGAGCCTAGGGCAGTTCTCGGGGAGTGCAAGTGGGAAAGACTTGGGCTTCCCTTCTTTTTTTTTTTTTTTTTTTTTTTTTTTGCTTTTTCCATCATACCCAGCGAAACCCAGGTTGCACTCAGGAATTACTCCTGGCGGTGCTTGGGGGACTCTATGGGCTGCCGGGGATCAGATCAATCCCGGGTCAGCTGCATGCACTGTACTATGACTTCGGCCCCTGTGCTTTCCTTTTAGCAGAGAGGAAACTGAGGCCCTCAGCCAAAGTCACTGAAGGTCATCTGCCCCCTCCCTGCCGGCCAGACAAGCCCCAGGACAGGGCACTGGTAGACAGGAATGCTGGAAGCCCTGGTGCTCCCCACTCATGCCCTGTCTTTGCCCCTTCTCCCTCCAGACTATGCAGAATTCATTTTCTTAGGACTCTTTATGTCCGAAATGTTTATAAAAATGTACGGGCTCGGGACGCGGCCTTACTTCCACTCCTCCTTCAACTGTTTCGACTGCGGGGTGAGTTCTGTGGTCCAGCTCTTCCCCGGGCGGTGCGGTGGTGACCCCAGGTCCTCTCTTGGGGGACAGAGACACCTCCCATCAGAAAGGAGCAGAAAGGAGCTGCCCTGGAAAGTCACTTGACCTTGTTGGCTGTGGGAACTCTTTGCCCGAGGAAGGGGGTTGAGATTGGAGTCTGGCAGGGGTGTCCCTTAATGAAAGGGGGCCACAGGACCAGAGACACAGTGTGTGTGTGTGTGGGGGGGGGGGGGGGGGGAGGCATCTGCCTCAGGGTGGCCAGCATTTGATCCGATCACTGCATAGCACCCGAGGAATGAACTTTGAGCACAGTCAGATATGGCTCCCTCCCAAATTAATCAATTAAAGGGGGTGGAAGAAGGGGTACCCCGACACCTGTCCCACTTTTGGGGAGGGGTGCAGCCAGGACACAGCCCCCTTTCCCCCCAGGTCATCATCGGGAGCATCTTTGAGGTCATCTGGGCCGTCATCAAACCCGGCACGTCCTTCGGCATCAGCGTGTTACGAGCCCTCAGGTTACTGCGTATTTTCAAAGTTACAAAGTGAGTCTCGGGGCACCCTGGCATCCCGAGTTGGGTGGCGTAGGGTGGGCCGCCAGGGCCATGTCCAGCCTCACCCCCGGCCCCCCGGCAGGTACTGGGCATCTCTCAGGAACCTGGTCGTGTCTCTGCTCAACTCCATGAAGTCCATCATCAGCCTCCTGTTCCTACTCTTCCTCTTCATCGTGGTCTTTGCCCTGCTGGGGATGCAGCTCTTCGGCGGTCAGTAAGTGTGCGGCTGCCTGGGGTCCCCCCGCCCGCCTCCACCGTAGAGGTACCCCGCAAGCTGGGTATGCGAGCAGCTGGGCGGGTGCCCTTCCCCGTCTACTCCCAGGAGAGGAGCTGGGGAACCAGGACCCCAGAAACACCTGCGTGCCCCCCGCCTCTCCACCCCAGGTTTAATTTCGACGAAGGGACTCCCCCCACCAACTTTGACACCTTTCCAGCGGCAATAATGACGGTATTCCAGGTGAGAACCCACCCCCTCAGACACCCCCAGGAGGAAGGGGTGGGCGAGACGGGGCCAGCGGCTTCCACTGCAAGAATGGGGAGCAGGCTCTGCAGACTGGCCGGGTGGGGTTCTTCTGCAGTCCGTGGGAGCAACCCCCTACAGGAAGGTCTGCATGCAGGAGGGGGTTCCAGGGGCTGCTCTGTCCTCTGCTCGGGGTCCTCACTGCTGGTGGTCAGAGGGAAGCAGAAGTAGACACGGAGACACCCAAATCCTCCTACTTATTCAGTTCCAAGGCCAGAAGCCCCACCTCACCACACCGTCCCCAGACACCCCCATCTCTGAAGGAGAGGATTTGTGGGTGCGCCGCAGTAAGGGGGATCCCTTAGCACAGGCCTTTTTCATTCCTCGGCCCGGCAGGAAAGGCGGCGAGCCATAAAGGTTCCGCTCTTCCTAGAAGCCAGGCAGGAGCCCTAGAGTCAAGGGATCTGTGGGGGACTAGACAGACGTATAGCGGGTTTGGGGGTTGGGGTGCACGCGTGCCAAGGGTCGCGGCTCAGGGCCTGACTGCGCATGTGCCAAGAAGTGTGGTGGGGGGCCGTCTTGTGGAGGGATGTGGTTTTAGGGGTCTGACCGCACGTGCACTGAGGAGCGTGATGGGAGCGTCTGACTATGCTTGCGTGAAGGGGCATAGCGCCACGTCTGACTGCGCATGCGCAGGGGGGGTTGTCGCTTAATGCCCACGAGCAGAGGGGCGTGGCGGGCGGGTATGTGAACGCATGCGCAGAGGGGCGTGGCTCGGCTTCTTGCAATGAGCACCCGCTGAGGAGCTCGCAGCTCAGAGGCCATGGGCTCCCTTGCAGATCCTCACCGGCGAGGACTGGAATGAAGTCATGTACGACGGCATCAAATCGCAGGGCGGCGTGCAGGGCGGCATGGTTTTCTCCATCTATTTCATCGTGCTCACGCTCTTCGGCAACTGTATCCTTCCCCGCCGGTGGGCTGTGGGCGGAAGCCGCGGGAGGGGGCTGCGAGGAGGGGCAGCAGCTATCCCGGTGCCCACAGTTCGGGCGATGTTTCCCTGACTCCGGCGTCTGCAGACACGCTCCTCAATGTGTTTCTGGCCATCGCGGTGGACAATCTCGCCAATGCCCAGGAGCTCACCAAGGTGGCGTGGGGGGATGAGGACCTGGCAGAGAGACCGCGGGGCTGGCGGGGCTGCCGGGGCCAGAGCTTTTGCAGAGGCCCCGGGCCAGGAAGGCACCTCCTTGGCCCCCGCAGACTGTCACACTTCCAGCAGGGCTCGTCGCAGAGGGGTGGAGTGAGGGCGAGACAGCGGGGTACACGGGAAACAGATGGCAGGGTGCACCCCATGCCCTGTATACAGGGAATGGGCAGCGACAAGGGACTTCCGAGGACAGGGAGACCGTCAGGCGGGCAGTCGGAGTCACGACAGGTCTGGAAAGACAGGACAGATGGAGAACCGGGTCCTGAGACTGCCTGAGAGGTGCCCCCCACCTCCACCCCACCCATCCCCTGGAACTTGGGAACCAGCCAGTATTCCATCACCTCCGCTTGGATGCAGCAGAGAAACAGGGCTGGAGGCTGGAGGCATGGCCAGCCCCTTCCTCATGGGGAAGGGAAACCAAGGCCACAGTATTTTTGGTTTTTTTTTTTTACAGGGTTTTTTTTTGGGGGGGTGGTATTCATGACTAGCGCCCCAGGGGCCAGGGCTGGAACTTAGGGCCCTACCATCAACTGCTTTGCATATGGTGAGTGCTCAGCTGTGGTTTGAGCCTTCATTTCATGAAGCTGGTCAAGGACAGGCTGGGATTCGAACCCAGACCGGGAAAGTTCCCACACTCAGTCCCCTTACTCAGCTTCTCTTCAAGCCCCGCATGGGAGCCCCGGGGTTTAAAATTAAGATGATCACCACCCACTTCCCAAGTGCTGAGCACTTCGTGACCAGCAGGGCCTGGGTGGCCTAGGGCACTGAGTTGCTGGAGGTGGTGGCCCCTGGGCCCCCTAAGCACCGTTTGGAAGACACTTCCCCACCCCCGTTTTTCAAAAATAATTATAACCACCTCCCAAAGGATATAATCACCTTTCTGGGGTGCCCAGCTCCCTCTTGCATGTGGGATAGGGAGGTGCTGTGTCCCCGTAAGATGGATGGGAAAGCTGAGGTCGAGAAAGGGTGTGAGCCTCCTCCCATGGCTAGGAAGGAAGACGGTAGAAGTGTGAGAGAAGACAGGACAGCTCAGTGGAGAATGATGGTGGTACCCATGCAAGAAGTCCCTGTTCTGTGTGTGGTCAGTGCTGCCAGAGGGGCCTGGAGGAGGCCAAGAGGCAAGTCCATGGCAGGCAGCCTCACAGGAGCCTTTCAGAGCCAAGCACACATCCAGAGCAAGACGGCCAGGGATGGTTGCCCAGGTTGCACACTGCACCAAGGAGCCCGTGGGCATCTTTGCTGTTGTTGGGGAGAGGTGCCAGGACAAAAGCATCATAGGAACTGGGCTTGGGGGTAGGGTGCTTGTGTCTCCCCCCAGCAGCCCCATCCCATCAAAAGAAAGTCGAAAGCAGTCAGTTTTCCTACACACATGCCTGTTGCTGAGCCTCTAGCCACTGGACCTGGGAGGGAGGGAGGAGGGTGGGCAGGGTTCCCACCCCCCAGGCCTCCAGCCCAGGGGGGTGCATGAAAATGAGAACAAAACTGGCCAGGTGTGTATGGGTGTGTGTGTGTGTGTGTGTGTGTGTGTGTGTGGTTTTTAACCTCTGCGCTATCTCTTCAGCCCTTTTTAAAAAGAAGCAGAGCCCAGGGACCATAGGACAGCAGGGAGGGCATTTGCCTTGCATGCAGACAACCTGAGTTCTATTCCTGGCATCCTATAATATGCCCTGAGCACCCATCAGGAATAATTTCTGAGTGCAGAGCCAGGAGTAACCCCTGAGCACTGCTGGGTGCGCCCTCCCCCCAAAAAAAAGCAGTACCCACAGAGCTGGAGCATGTGCTCAACCCCCGCATTGCATGGCCCAGGTACCACCGGAAGGGATCCCCAAGGCTGTGTCCAGGAGTAGCCCCTGAGCACCACTGGGGGTAGCCCCAAAACAAGAACAGAAAGAATCCTATAAAAGTTTCTTTCCATCTACTGAGTTGGGGCTGGAGCACTAGTACAGGGGGTAGGAAGTTTGCCTTGCACGCAGTCAACCCGGGTTCGATTCCCAGCATCCCATATAGTCCCCCAAGCACTGCCAGGGGTAATTCCTGAGTGCAGAGCCCCGAGTAATCCCTGTGCATCACTGGGTGTGACCCAAAAAGCAAAAAAAAAAAAAAAAAAAAGGCAGAACTACTGAGTTGCAGAAGGTCTGTGGGCCAGTAGGGGGCCGCAGACCCATGTTTGAAAACCATGGGCCCCCAGAAGGTCCTGTGAGCAGGAAAGCTGTACTCTGCTCCCAGCGGGCTGTGCCGTGCTGCGAGGGCACCCAGTTAGAAGGCCCCTTCCAGGTTTGGGCTTCCTGTGGGTCAGGGGGAGGGGAGCCTCAGCCCAGACCCAAGGTTGATGAATGGCGCACCCGGGGTGCATGCTGTACAGGACGAACAAGAAGAAGAGGAGGCGGCCAACCAGAAACTGGCGTTGCAGAAAGCTAAGGAGGTGGCGGAAGTGAGCCCTCTGTCAGCAGCCAACATGTCCATCGCCGTGTAAGTGCCCCCTGCAGCAGCCTCTGCAGAATAGGCGACCGGGCACCCACTGCAAGTGGAGCAGCACAGTACCCACCAGGGGACTGGGTGGGGAGCGAGCGGAAGACTGGAAGGGGGTATAGAGGTGTTGGGAGGTGCCTAGGCAGGGCATGCAAAGGGCCTGGGGTAGGAACGGGTCCTGGTGTGGTTCAGGAACAGGAACGGGAGTGGAGGGTGCAAGTGAGGTGGGCCAAAAAGACACCGGTGGAGGCAAGCAGGGCTTGGGCAGTGCTCACTGTGTCCCGGGGAGGACATGGGCTTTGGCTCTGAGTCAGCCCAAAGCCACCTGAGTATTGGGGAACACCAGAGGGCAGAACCAGACTCTGAGCTCACGGGCGCCCCCCAGTGACTGTCCAGCAAACGGGAGACTCATACCGGCCGAATGCCTGGGCAGCGGTGGTGGTGTTAGTAATGACCTGGACAATCGTGGGGCCCGGTGAGTGGATCTCTGCGCCGTCACTGGGCAGTTTATTCCACTTTCCCCTAATCTGGTCCTCCCCGCCCCATTTGAGCCGGAAGTCAGTCACAGAGTCATCCCAAGGTTTTGAGCCTCCCACAGACTGGCATCCCACCTGATGGTGGAGACACAGAAGGCCCGCCAGACGCTGGGTTTTGAAGGGGAGGTCTGGGGGCCACGGTGACACCCCCTCCCCGGAGAGATGCAGCCCGGGCCCCCCCGTGCGCCGGGGCCAGCGAGCCAGTGTGCACCTCCCACGCGGGGCGGAGTGGCCGCCGGGCCCTGGTGGCCCGCGTGCGGCTGAGCCCGCGGCCCGGCCTTGCAGGAAGGAGCAGCAGAAGAACCAGAAGCCCGCGAAGTCGGTGTGGGAGCAGCGCACGAGCGAGATGCGAAAGCTGAACCTGCTGGCCAGCCGGGAGGCGCTGTACGGCGAGCCGGACCCCGACGAGCGCTGGAAGGCGGCGTACACGCGCCACCTGCGGCCGGACATGAAGACGCACCTGGACCGGCCGCTGGTGGTGGACCCGCAGGAGAACCGCAACAACAACACCAACAAGAGCGGCGCGGCCGACCCCGCGGCGGACCAGCGGCTGGGCCAGCAGCGCGCCGAGGACTTCCTGCGCAAGCAGGCGCGCTACCACGAGCGCGCGCGGGAGCCCGGCGGCCCAGGGGGCCTGGACGCGCGGCGGCCCTGCTGGACCGACAGCCACGAGGCCGAGCTGAGCCGGGAGGGGCCTTACGGCCGCGAGTCGGACCATCACCTCCGCGAGGGCGGCCTGGAGCCGCCGGGCTTCTGGGACGCCGAGCCCGAGCGGCCCAAGGCCGGGGACCCGCACCGCGCCCGGCACGGCCGCCGGCAGGGCCAGGGCGGCAGCCGCGAGAGCCGCAGCGGCTCCCCCCGCACCGGCGCCGACGGGGAGCCCCGCCGGCACCGGCCCCACCGCCGGCCGGGCGAGGAGGTGCCCGAGGACAAGGCGGAGCGCCGGGCGCGGCACCGCGAGGGCAGCCGACCGGCCCGGGGCGGCGAGGGCGAGGCCGAGGGCCCGGACGGCGGCGGGGGCGAGAGGCGGCGGCGGCACCGCCACGGGCCCCCGGGCCCCGCGTACGACACGGACACGCGGAGGGACGACCGCGAGCGCCGGCACCGCCGGAGGAAGTGAGTGGGCGGGGCGGGGCGCGGTGGGTGTGGCTGGAGGTGGGCGTGGTGGTGGGCCGGATTGGCGGGTGGGTGTGGCCTGGAGGGTGGGCGGGGCTGGACGGATGGAGGTGGCTCGCTGATGGGTGTGGCTGGGAGGATGGGCGTGGTTAGCCCGATGGGCGGTGCTCCTTGAGGAAGCTCTTGGCTTCCCCCTCAACATGTCACTTGGCCGCGCAGGATGCAGTAGCTCATGGGGGGAGCTCCTGTCTGGCGTGTACAAAGCCCTGGGTTCGATTTCCAGCACCATCAGGCTTTGCCTCCAACAATTTTTAAAAAGTAGGGGGCGCTTGGGGCTGGAGCAATAGCACAGCAGGTCGGGTGTTTGCCTTGCACGTGGCTGACCCCGGTTCGATTCCCAGCATCCCATATGGTCCCCTGAGCATTGCCAGGAGTGATTCCTGAGTGCAGAGCCAGGAGTAACCCCTGTATATCGCCAGGTGTGACGCAAAAAACAATAAATAAGTAAATTGGGGGGCGCTTGCCTTGCATGCAGCCAGCCTGATTAAATCACCTCCATCACCAGTGATCCATGAGTGCAGAGCCAGCAAGAAACCCTGAACACCGCTGGGTGTGGCCCAAAAACAAACAAGGAAGAATTATTATAATAACAAAATCAGGTGGTCGTTTGTATCCTTTGGGGGAGGGAGGGGTTGGGTCACACCCAGGAATGCTAGGGTTACTCCTGGCAGCGCTTCGGGGACCATATGGGATGCCGGAGATCAAACCTGGGCCGACTGTATGCAAGGCAAATGCCCTACCTGCTGTGCTATGGGTTCAGCCCTTCTTGTTTATTTTTAAAAACTTCCTGAGGAACTACTTTATACTTTTCTTGTCTGTGGGGAAGAAGTTTTAGAGAGTTTTAGAGAGACCGTTTCCCACAGAGAAGAGTGTGCCCTGGTTCCTGAAACCCCAGAGGATGATATTTAGGTCACTGGAAGGTCGAAGATGGCCACGGTCTCTCCCCATCCATCCAGGCAGGATCCTCTCTCCCAGATGGGTCTCTGTGCGTCTTCACTCATTGCGGGTCTTTGTCCATGGTCTTCCTTCCACAGAGACAACCAGAGCTCCGGGGTGCCCGTCTCGGGCCCCAACCTGTCGACCACTCGGCCTATTCAGCAGGACCTGGGTCGCACCCAGGAGCCACCGCTGGCCGAGGCCATCGACAATATGAAGAACAACAAACTGGCCACGGCCGAGTCTCCCAGCCCCCACGACACCCGGGGCCCCCCGGGCCTGCCCCCGAGCCCCACCAAGATGGGCAACAGCACGGACCCCATGCTGGGTCCACCCGCCCAGGCCCCCAATGCAGCTGGCCGCCGGATCCCCAACAACCCGGGGAACCCGTCCAACCCTGGCCCCCAAAAATCCCCCGAGAACAGCCTTATTGTCACCAACCCCAGCAGTAGCCAGGCCAACTCAGCGCAGACTGCCAGGAAGCCCGACCACACTGCGGTGGACATCCCCCCGGCCTGCCCGCCCCTCAGCCACACGGTCGTGCAAGGTGAGAAGCCGATGGGGACCCCAGGAAGTGGGGGGAGAGCATGGTGCCCAGGACACTGGCTTTGCACGTGGCCGTTCTGTGTTCAGTCCCCTGCGTCCCATAAAGACCCCAGACCCCTTAAGGAAGGATCCATGAACTCAGAGGCAGGGGCTGGCCCAAGCACCAGAAAAGAGAACAAAAAGGCCAAGGCTCAGAGAGGCTCTCTGACAGGATCCATGTTCCCGGGCTGGTGGCCCCTGGGCTGGGTCCTGAGAGGGAGCTACGGGGGGAGGGAAGAAGCAGTCGGTCTCCCCAGCTGCAAGCAAAGATGCCTGGTCTCAGTCTCCCTGCACCCCACAACAAGTTCTTCGGGCTGGGGCACACTCCCCTGAGGGTCTTCACCAGACTCCAGTCCTGGAGGGCAGGTCGGCTGGGCTCTCCTGGTTCAAATCCCAGCCCTGCCACCCTTGAGCCAGTCACACTGTCTGTGCCTCCTCCCCTGGAAGGTGGGGATCTTGTCCTTGGTGGCTTACAGGAGCAGACCCACTGCCTCTGCCTGCTCTAGGTGGCAGGGTGAGGAAGCAGACACCCCGAGGCTGGCGGGAAAGCACAGAAGGAACCCCATCCCCTGTCTGTTGTTTTTGTTTGGGGTCCACACCCAGTGGAGCTCAGGGCTTACTGCTGGCTCTATGCTCATGTCACTCCCACTGGTGCTCAGGGAAAGCATGGAGTGCTGGGGATTGAACTTCCATCAGCTGCATGCAAGGCCAGCCCCTGACCAGCCCCTCTTCAGTCTCTCTGCCCCTGCCATGTTGACCCTTGTCCTCGTAGTGAACAAGAACGCCAACCCAGACCCACTGCCAAAAAAGGAGGAGGAGAAGAAAGAGGACGATGACGCTGGGGAGGATGGCCCCAAGCCCATGCCCCCCTACAGCTCCATGTTCATCCTCTCCACCACCAACCCGTGAGTGCCCAAGCCAGGACTCAAGAGGGGTGCAGAGCCCGGCAGAGCTTGATGCATAAAACGCTTGCACGTGTGAGACCCCCCCAAAAAATAATAGTAGTGCCAAATTTTCAAGTGCTGCAGATAAAAACTCGTGGTGTGCTCATGTGGGGTTGGTGGGGGAGGACTCCTTGCAGCCACCTCCTGGAAAATCACCGTCATAAATATTCACATCTCCCTTCTGTCCAGCAGCCCTTCAGAGAATGGCCGTGTAGGCCAGGGAGAGGCACAGAGGGCCGGAGCGCGTGCCCCGCACTCACGAGCCCCAAGTTCTAGCCCCAGCACCACTTGTCCCTGACAAAGGAACGCTGAGGTGGGGGAGGGGTCGGGAGGTGGAGACTGGGGGACCTTGGATGTGGGTCATGAGAGGGCTCGGGAGGGGAGTGGGTGGTCTGAGTGGACCCCTGCACACCCGCAGCCTCCGCCGCCTGTGCCATTACATCCTGAACCTACGCTACTTCGAGATGTGCATCCTCATGGTCATCGCCATGAGCAGCATTGCCCTGGCAGCCGAGGACCCGGTGCAGCCCAATGCGCCCCGGAACAACGTGAGTCCCCGACTCCGCACCCTAGGCCACAGCCCCGTGGCTGGTCCAAGCCCCACCCTCTTGGTTCAAGCCCCGCCCCTCCATCACAGTCACGCCCTTCTGTTCGACCCCGCCTCTCAGCTCAAGCCACGCCCCGTGGTTCTGGTCCCGCCCCTTGATCCAGGCTCCTCCCACTCTGACCCTGGCCCCAAGACTCCACCCCAGTCACTAGCCCACCCCCTTCGTGCAGCTGGTAACCCGGTGGAAGGAAAATGGGGCAAATTGCCCTTTGGGGACGGCTCTTGAGCTGGCTCTATGTGTTTGGGAGGACAGAGTGTCAGGAGGGCGGGGGTTGGAGAGGGGCTGGCAGTGCCCATGCTCTGCGTGGGGTGTGGCCCACTAGGTCACCCCCACAGAGACACCTCCATTTGCGGCCGAGTAGTGGACACAGAGATTGTTTGCACCAAGAAGCAAACTTGGAATTGTGCGGAGAGCTGGAAAGGTCTCTCATTCCAAAGAGATGGTACAGCCAGAAAGGCGCTGGCCTTGAACATGGCTAACCTGTGTTCCATTCCCGGCACCTCCAAGGGCTCCCAGGCGGTGAGCAGACTATTGAGAGGTCACAGGGGCTTGGTGCAGGATCCCCGCTAGGGTGTCCCTGCTGATCAGACAGGGACAGTGAGGCTGGGGCGCCGTGGTGGCCTTGTAACTCTACAATGTGCCTGTTTCCATCTGCATCCTCCCACACAGCCAAAATGAGTGTGAGGTGAGGGGAAGCCAAGGGGTGGCAGCCTGGGCCTAACCTATGAGCTGGTGGTCAGGGGGCTGACCCCCAGCCAGCACTGGGGGAACTTTCCCGGCCGCCAGCCTAACCATGCCCAGCTAAGTAGGTCAGGGGCCGGGAGCCTGCGACTCATGCATCAGCCACCCTCTGCTCACCTTGCATTTCCCTTCCCAGGCAGGCCTGGAAGGTCCCCAGGGACAGAGGCGGGAGGGAAGAGGGAAGGAGATAATTAGAACACAGCCCTGATGAGGCTCCACGGAGGGGTCCCTGTCCCCCTCGAGGGCTGCAGGGAGGGGATAGGCAGGATGGGTCCTCTCCCCTGCAGCGCCAGGCCCAGAGCCCCAGGGCCAGTGCCCCCCATTCTCCATGGGTCCCCCTGCACTGACCCTCGTGCACCCACTGGGGGTAGGATCTGCACCTGCAGCCCCTGGCAGGAGGCAGTGCAGAGCCGCCGCTCTCAGCCATGGACCCCAACACCTCACCCGCGTTGCCTCCTCCCTCTGGGCCTGGGGGTCGCCATCAAGGCCAAGACTGGAGGCAGGCAGAGCAGCGTGGAGCCCCGAGTGTGCTAGGCCTCGCCCTGCGCGACCCCAGACCTGGAGTGACCTCCTGTGTCCTTCCGGCCCCACTGTCCAGCTCTGGCAGGGGACACTTACTGATTTAGTCAGGAAGGTTGGGTGCAAACGCCAGGGAGTCACGGGGCTCGAGCCACAGCACAGCGGGGAGGGTGCTGCCTGGCACACAGCCGACCTGGATTCAAGCCCCGGCACCCCATAGGGTCCCCTGAGCCCCGCCAGGAGTCAGCCTTGAGCACTACTGGGTATGGCCACAAAACAAAGCAGTCAGGGAGTACCATTATGTTACTATTACTATTATTATTTTGTTACTGTTGTTTGGCTTGGGGCCACACCCAGTGGCCTCAGGGCTGACTCCTGGCGCTGATGGAGGATCCAGTGGGGGTCTGGGGACCCAACATACAAGGCAATTGCCCTGCCCGCTGAACTGACTATCACTTGGTCCCCAAGTGGTAGAATTTTGGGGGTGTTCAGGACCCCGAGGTCCTTCCCTGACTCCTGGGTCACTGTGAGGCCTGAGAATGCACCGCTGAAGGACACTGCCGTGCCAGGGGATCCCCAGGGTCGTCCCATCACCTCTGCGGTGCTCAGGAGATTAGGTGCCAGAGACTGAATCGGGCTCTGCTGCCCGCAAGGCCGGTGACTGGCAGATGGGGCAGGGGCGGGGCCTGAGGGGCGGGACTCTCGCGGGGCGCTCCCTGGCGGCCGTGCTCGGCACGACTCGCGCTGGGGTCACACCAGTGGCGGCCTGGGGCACGATGGGAGTGGGGCCAGCAGGCAGAGGAGCTCCAGCCATCCCGGGGGCCCACCTCGCCGTACCTCCAGGTCCCCGTCTCATCCGGCCAGGGCTCCAGCCCAGCGGGGAGCAAAGCCTGTGTCGGGCCGGGAAGCCGAGCCGCCCCGCAGAGGTTTTCGGATTTTCGTTTGGTTGGGACTCTGCTGCCCCCTGCTGGAAGTGGCCGTCGCCACCTGGAAACCGCCCCCTCCGCGCCAGCCGCGGCAGGCGAGGGTCCCTTGCGCTGTGCCCGCCCCGCTCCACCGGACCGGGCGGCTGGCTGGAGCCCCTGGCCCTTGGCTCCCGGGGGCGGCCGTGCTGGGGCGCCCCCGTGATCGCTCCCCCCCACCTGCAGGTGCTGCGGTATTTTGACTACGTCTTTACAGGCGTCTTTACCTTTGAGATGGTGATCAAGGTGAGGGGGGGGCCAGCCGGGACCCCACAGGGGACCCTGGGGGGTGCGAGGAGGGAACCGCGGGGCTGTTCTGGGGGGCACAGCGGGACGGGCCCGGTTAGTGGTGGCGGAGGAGGGGGTGAGGCAGGCGGGTGTGTCCTCGTCCCCCCCACCCCCCTCCACCCCGACCGGAAGAACTCTGACACCGAGCACCAGCCCTGCTTCTCCCCCACAGATGATCGACCTGGGGCTCGTGCTGCACCAGGGCGCCTACTTCCGCGACCTCTGGAACATTCTGGACTTCATAGTGGTCAGTGGAGCGCTGGTGGCCTTCGCCTTCACGTAAGTCCCTCCTGAGCCTCCCTGCCGGGTTGCCCACTGGACCCGGCGGGGGCGGGGGGGAGGTGATGTATTCTGCGGGGAGGCGGGGCGGGGCCTGCGACTGGCTTATGCATGACCGATGGGGACCCTCCCATCTCCCCTCACCCGACATCTCATCTCCCTCCCACTCCACAAGCCCCCAGAGCTGTCTCTTTGGGGGTTCCCTCAAAAGACAGCGGGGACCCGAGTGTGCGTGAGACTAGGGGACCCCAGGCCAGCCGAGCTCCCCACCCCAGTGCCCTTCATTCGCTCTGGCAGCGTGGGCGCCTTGATCTTTGACAGAGCAGCCCCCTTATCACCGGGAAACGAGGGACCCTTCCCGGGGCCATTCCCAGAGGGCCCGTGGCTGGCAGCCCTACGCGGGGCGCCCGAGCAGTGGCACCATGCAGTAGCTGCGGCTTCTAGAAAGGCATCTGGGGCTGCTGGTCACTGCGGGCAGGTGCCCGAGGCCAGCAGCGCGCAGGGTCAGCATTTCACTCAGGTCCAACCCACTGCTGCGTGGTCTCAGCCGCAGAGTCGGGCGCCTCGAAGTGACCCCAGTCCTGAAACGGGTCTCACGGGAGCCCAGCCTCTGCCCCTCTGAGATATCTGGGCTCTCTCAGGGCCTCTGCATCCTGCCCTGCCTCAGTTTCCTGCAGGACCCCTGAACGCCCCCCCCACACCCCATACCCCATTCCTGGGGGCTTGCCTTTGAGCAGGCCGGAGCAGTGACCGGCCCCTGCATTCCCTCCCTGCACTTTGTCCCCACAAGCCTGACTGGAAGATCACTTGTACCTTCTGGTCAGTGAGGGGGCGCAGCGCTGCCCTGCCCACCCCACTCCGGCCCCCAGTCGCCACTCAGGAAGAGTCGCAGTTCCAGGAGCCACTAGCCCTCCAGCCCCGGATCTTTTTGCCTTTGTGTCTTGCTTGTTTTTTTTCTCCCCCTAAATGTGGCTGGTCCCCCAGCACCCAGTGCCTCCCTCCAGCCCAGCTGATTCCTCCAGCACCAGGCGCCCCCGTGACCTGCAGGTGGCAGACCCTTTCCCCCTGCCAGACGAGCGCGAGGTGACTCAGGCTCTGCTGACCCTGGGCCAGCGCTGGCCCCGCACACCCCAGCGGGGCTGATGCAGTTGCGGGCATTTGCATTTCTCTCTGGAAATGTGAAGGGGATGGGTGGGTGGAGCTGCATCTGGGAGTGGGAGCGGGGAGGCTGGTCAGGGACCCGCACTCAGCAGGGCGGGTCTTTGAAGCTCTGGCAAGGGAAACAGGCGGGCAGCGGCCATCTCGAGGTGCCCGAGGGTGTGGGATTTCCTTCCGGATTTGGGCCGACCCTGGACTTCACGTGGGGCGGGTTGGGTGTGCTGGACCTAGGAGAACTCCCTGGCACCCACCATTGTCGGTCCTGCCCTCCCTCACTGCCTTGAGTCCATCTGCTGCCCTCTCCTCAGGGCGAGAGGTCAGGCTTGGCACCTCAGGCTGAGCACCTTGATCAAGCCACGCCTGCATGCCTAGGGGCTGGCAGGATTGCCAAAGGACACAGGGAGCCCACCCCCCTCCCCCATGGCTAATTTTCCGCCCTAGAAAAGTTTTCAGATCCTCCCCCTGGATGTCACTCTCGGGGTTCCGTGGCCTGAGAACCCGACAAACCCACGGTTGCTCACTGCCTTGCCCGGTGAATCGGGGGTGGCAGGAACTAGGGGCACTGTAGCCTGATGTGAGGGGGATGCCTAGAGCTCAGAAATGCAGGGCAGGGGCACAGTGAGGGGCTCTGGCCTCTCTGGGTGGGGGCCAGGATTCCACCTCTGCGTGGGGATTGGGGTCTGGTGTGTTTCTGTGTGCGTCTGTGTGAGTGTGCAGGTGTGTCTGGTAGAGGGGCGATGGGTCCGTATGTCTGTGTGTGTGTGACTGTGTGTGTTTCTCTGTGTCTGTATGTATCAGTGTGTGTCTGTGTACGAGTGTGCATGTGTGGATATGTCTGGCAGAAGGGCTGACGGGGGGTTATGTCTGTAAGTGTATCTGTGTGTGAGTGTGTGACTGTTTATGTATGTCTGTGTGTGTATGTGGGAATGTGTGTTTCTGTGTCTGTGTTAAATATATCTGCGTGTGTGTGTGTCTGTATGTGTGAGTGTGGGTGCATCTATGTGTGTCTGTGTATGTGTGTCTGTATCTGTGTGTGTGTCTGTATATGTGAATGTGGGTGTATCTGTGTGTATCTGTGTGTCTATATGTGTGAGTGTGTGTGTCTGTGTAACTGTGTGTCTGTGTATGTGTGAGTGTGGGTATGTCTGTGGATCTGTGTGTCTATGCATGTGTGAATGTGTGTGACTGTGTGTCTATTGTGTATCTGTGTGTATGTGTGTTTCTGTTTGTGTCTGTGTTAAATATATCTATCTGTGTATATGTGTGTCTGTATGTGTGTATTCGGTCTGTGTGTGTCTGTGTATCTGTGTGTGTCTGTATATGTGAATGTGGGTGTGTCTGTGTGTGTGTCTGTATGTGTGAGTGTATGTCTGTGTATCTGTGTCTCTGTATGTGTGAGTGTGGATGTGTCTATGAGAGTGTGTGTCTGTGTGTGTGAGTACGTGTGTATGTATATGTGTGGGTGTGTCTGTGTGTAAGAGTGTCTGTGTGTGTCCGTATATGTACGCGTGGGTATGTGTCTGAATGTATGAGTAGGTGTGTCTGTGTGTGTCTGTATGCGTCTGTATGCGTATGTGTCTGTGTGTGTGTCTGTGTGTTTCTGTGTGTATGTGTGTGTTTCTGTGTGTGTCTGTGTGTCTTTGTGTGAGTAGGTGTGTCTGTATGTGTGTCTGCGTGTGTGTCTGTGTGTGCCTATGTGTGTGTCTGTTTCTGTATGTGTCTGTGTGTGCCTACGTGTGTATCTGTGTGTGCGTGTGTGTGTCTGTGTGTGTGTGTGTCTATGTGTGTCTGTGTGTATATCTGTATGTGTGCATGTGTGTCTGTGTGCCTGTGTGTGTGTCTGTGTGCATGTGTGTCTGTGTGTGTCTGTGTGTGCATATCGTGGTTCTCCTACTCACTGTGCTCCATGCCACCATTAACACCCATTTCATCCGCCGTCCCCTGGGTCGCACGCTGTGCCCATGCACGGGGCCACCATCTGCATCCCCCGGCCACGGCCCTGCCCTCACAGCCCACTGGTCATTGGGGCTGCCACCATCACTCAAGGCCAGCGGCACTGAGCCTTGATCAAGCCACTCCTGCATGCTCAGGACCCAACTGCCAGGAAGCCAAAGCAGCAGCCTGGGGCAGCCCACCTGTTTCTGTGGCGGAGTGCGGGGCCTGGGGTTCCCCGGCCTCAGTTCCCTTCCCCTGCCCGTTTCTTTCTCTTCTGTGATGAAGCACAAAGCACCCGGGTTTGACTCTCGCTCAGGCCCGAGTCACCGTGTGACCTTGGGCAAGTCCCTGGCCCTCTCTGAGCCCACTCCCTCGCCTGGGAGGAATGGGCGCAACCGTGCTGGCAGGCTGACCACCCCAGAGCCCAGCACCCCACGGGCCTCCCGAGCCCCGCCAGGAGTGACCCCTGAGCACAAAGCCGGGAGTCACCCTGAGCACTGCCGGGTGTGGCCCCCCAAGTGAAAACTGGATGCTGCCCGAGGGGGCTCTGTGGCCTCTCACGGTCGGGCGTCATGGGGGGGTCCCCGACCCGCGACCATACCCAGGTGCCCCAAAGGGCTGCCCCCAGCCCCGAGAGATTTTGGCTTTCTTGGTGAGGTTGGGCAGTGCTGGGGCGCCTGCACCTGGGGGGGGCCGTGCAGCTGTGCGTGTCCTGTCTGTGTCCTCTGACACGCTGACCACCTCTCTTCCCGCATCTCTGCAGGAGCAGCGCACGGTAAATCTCCCCTCCCCTCCTCCCTCCCTCCCTCCCCTCCCCTCCCCTCCTCTATCCCCCCCCCATCTTCCCTCCCCCCTCTCCCCTCCCCCAACTCCCCTCCCCTCTCTTGTTATCTCCCCTCCCCCTCCCCTCCCATCCTCTGTCCCCCTCCCCTCCCCCATCTGCCCTCCCCTCCCCCAACTCCCCTCCCCTCTCCCTCCTCTATCCTTTCCCTTTCTCTCTCTCTCCCTCTCCCCCCCCCCCCCCCCCGTCCCTCTCTTTGTCTCTGTCTCGTTCTGTCTCGTCCCCACATCCTCTGTGCCCTGGGCAGCTGCGTGTCCCGACCTGTGTCCGTGGCCTGGTGTCTGTGCCGCTGTCCTGTTGCTCACCCTGACGCGGCCCCTCAGGCTGCTCCCAGGGAGCAGGAAGCCCGAGGGAGGGTGCAGCCACTGCGCCCCACCCGGACCAGCACCGGTAGCCCCACTCTTGGCGGAGAACAGCGGGGTGGCGGGAGGGCGGTTCCACACGTGGGGATGTCGGGGGTGGCGTCCGCGGGCCTCGCAGGTGGAAAGGGCAGAAGGTGGCCCCGGCAAGTGCCCACAGTCCAGCCTGCAGGCGCCGTCAGCCCTCGTTGGGACTTGGGGCCCGAACCCTGGGGCCTCCTTGGGCCAGAGGGCTGGGTGGCACCCTTGACCTCAGGCTGGGTGATTGGTTGTGGGGAGAGTTGTGGGGGACTGTAATGGGGAATTTCCAACCCCCTGGGATGACACATCCCCAAGGGTCGCCAGGATCCCAGAGGGTGATGGGGCTGGAGGGGGTGGGGGGGGCCGGCCAGTGCCCTCGACTCTGCAGGGGGGTCGGCATCAGATGGGGAATGGGGGTCCCCAGAGCTCAGATGGGGAATGGGGATCCCCAGAGCTCAGCCCCACCAGCCCCTGATGATGACCCCCCCGACCTCGCCCTAGAAGCTCCCAAGTACAGGGGTGAGGAATCCGAGCGCTAAGACAGCGGGGAGGACTGAGGCCTTGCTGGGCTCGGTCCCTGGCCCGCCATAGGGTCCCTGAGCACAGAGCCAGGAGTCAGCCGAGAGCGCCGCCAGGCATGGCCCACAAAAGGGGAGGAAGTGGCGGGGGCTCTGCCTGCTCCTGGAGGGTAGGGGGCTGTCCCGAGAGGTCCACGGCAGACAGCGGACGCTGCGCAGGGCCACGGGGCATCCGGCCTCCCGCGATCCTGACCGCTGCCCTCCTTTCCCTCCCCCCCGCGTTATTCCACAGGGGCAACAGCAAAGGGAAGGACATCAACACTATCAAGTCCCTCCGTGTCCTCCGGGTGCTACGACCTCTTAAAACCATCAAGCGGTTGCCAAAGCTCAAGGTGAGGCGCCACGTGGGAAGCTGCAGTGGTCGCTGGGGCCCGTTGATCCGGAGACCAACATGTGCGCGTCCATGCAGTGCCACGGCCTGCCAACAGAGGGCGCCCTACCTGCATGTCTGGTGGGGAGGTTGCCTGAGGATGAGGGAGGGCTGGGGTGGGGGGGTCCTTGTCCCAGGACCCCGGCCCCTGACGCCCCGCACCCCCAGGCCGTGTTCGACTGCGTGGTGAACTCGCTCAAGAACGTCTTCAACATCCTCATCGTCTACATGCTCTTCATGTTCATCTTCGCTGTCGTGGCTGTGCAGCTGTTCAAGGGCAAGTTCTTCCACTGCACCGACGAGTCCAAGGAGTTCGAGAAGGACTGTCGGTGCGTCCTGGGGGCCGGGAGGGCGGCTGGGGCCTGTCGGTGCATCCTGACAAGTGGGCAGGGGGCTCCGGGAGGCACAGAGAGAAGCTGGTAGGGAGTCACTCCTGGTGTCACAGTCGCACCAGGAAAGCCAGGTGCTGGGTAGCTGGGTAGTGAGCACAAAGCCGGCCCACGTGAGACCCGAGAACCTCAGGATCCTTAGGAAAAATAATGGAGGAGGACTACAGAGATTGGACCCTGGGAAGGAGAGGTGGGACCCCGGGAAGGAGAGGTGGGACCCCGGGAAGGAGAGGTGGGACCCCGGGAAGGAGAAATGGGACCCTGGGGAGGAGAGGTGGGACCCCGGGGAGGAAAGATGGGACCCCAGGAAGGAGAGATGGGACAGTGCTGGCCTTGCAGGCAGCCGACTCAGGCTTGATCCACACCATCCCATGTGGTCCCCCAAACCCCACCAGGAGTGATCCCTGAGCCCAGAGCCAGGAGTCAGCCCTGAGCTTCATCGGGTTGTGGCCCAAAAACAAGACATAAAAGTGACTCCAAATTCAGACAGTTGTAGAGTGCCCGGCAAGGGTGCACCCACAGAAGAAAACAAGAATTCATGAACACAGGGCCCAAGAGACAGTCGGGGGGCGGGGGGGTGTCGGCCTTGCTTGTGGCTGACCTGAGTCTGATCACCTAAGTGCCGGTGTGGGGGGATCCCTGAGTACTGTAAGGGGGGAACATGCAACACTGAGACCCGTGAAGATCTGAGCCGCAAAGATGACTCTCGGGCCCAGACACTCGGCCCAGAAGCCTGGGGCCGGAGGCAGGGGGCGGGGGTCTGGGACGCCCCCACCCCCTCCGACAAGTCCCCCAGCCCTGTTCCTGCCGCAGCGGCAAGTACCTGCTCTATGAGAAAAATGAGGTGAAGGCGCGGGACCGCGAGTGGAAGAAGTACGAGTTCCACTACGACAACGTGCTCTGGGCGCTGCTCACACTCTTCACCGTGTCCACGGGCGAGGGCTGGCCCCAGTGAGTGAGGCGGGTGCCCAGGGCGGGGACTGGCCCCATGGGGGTCTGGGGGCTGGCTGGGGCCCACGCACGCCCACCCCAGCCGGCTGCACTCCCTGGGTCAGCAGGTCATGGGCCCGGGGCTTTGGGGCAGTTTGACCCTTGGATGTTGTAAGATCCTGTGACCTCAGTGTCCTGGCCAGAGCAGCGCCATGCCCCCTCACTCCCCCCACAGACACCCCAAGCACGGAGAGCTCGGAGCACCCTCTCCTCAGAGTCCCGAGAGCAGCGCGTGCCCCCGACTCCCCCCTCCCGATACCAGCGCCACAGACCAAGCGTTGGCCGAGCCAGAAGCCAACTCGCCCCTCGGGGGCCAGCCCCGGCTCTCGGGCCGCCAGACCCCCCCAGCCTCTCCCCCCACCTCACAGCCCCTGTGTCAACCCCCCACCCCCAGGGTCCTCAAGCACTCGGTGGACGCCACATTCGAGAACCAGGGCCCAAGCCCCGGCTACCGCATGGAGATGTCCATCTTCTACGTCGTCTACTTCGTCGTCTTCCCCTTCTTCTTCGTCAACATCTTCGTGGCCCTCATCATCATCACGTTCCAGGAGCAGGGGGACAAGATGATGGAGGACTACAGCCTGGAGAAGAACGAGGTGCCCCGGGCTCGGGGGCCGGCCTGGCGTGGCTGTGGTGCAGCAGCGCAGACCCGGGCTGGGCCTTGCGGAGTGGATGTCGGGTTTCTCTTTATATTTGGGGCCGTCTGCTGTGGTGCGGGGTTCGAGCCAGGCCCTGCCCTGAGGGGGTTGCCGGGACTGCGGGGACCAGACCGGGTGCTGAGGGCTCGGACAGGGCGGCTGCTGGTACAGCGAGCCTTCACCCTCCTGGACACACACTCACACGTGTGCGCGCACACATAGACGCACAGACTCACACATGCACAGACACACACACACACACAGACGCAGACTCACATGCACAGAAACACACACATGCACAGACACACACACACACAGATGTACAGACTCACATGCACAGACACACACAGACTCACACATGCACAGACACACACACAGACGCAGACTCACATGCACAGAAACACACAGATGCACAGACAGACACACACACAGATGCACAGACTCACATGCACAGACACACACAGACTCACACATGCACAGACACACACACAGACGCAGACTCTTTCATGCACAGACTCACACATGCACAGAAACACACACAGATGCATAGATTCACACGTGCACAGACACAGACTCACACATGCACAGACACACTCACACATGCACACACACACAGACACGCACACACACAGACACACACACAGATGCACAGGCTCACACGTGCACAGACACAGCCTCACACACAGACTCAGACTCACACATGCACACACACATGCACAAACTCAGTCTCGTGCATACACAGCGTGTGCTCACAGACACGCAGGAACAGCAGTTTGCAGGGAAGAAACTGTTTGCAGTTTTCAGGCTCCGCTCCTGCCCCAGCGCCCTGGTGGCTCTGGAGGGCCCTGTGGAGAATGTGCGTGTGCACACGTGTGGGTGTGTCGGGGGCGCTGTGCTAACCCCACCTGCCGCCCCGGCCAGCTGTGCAGCACTTGAATTCTGGCTGGTTTGTTTCAGGTTCTGGGTTTTCTCAGTGCCTGGGATGGCCCCAGGTCCCAGGGATCCAGCTCAGGGCCTGGAGCGAACCAGACACACACACACCGCCCCTGCCTCCCCCCAGTGCCAGGCTCCCTGGCAGCCTCAGCCAGTGCCACGCACAGGGGAGGAATGGGGCGGGGTGTAAAGTCCAGTTCCGCAGCTGAGGCAGGTTGGGGTGGGGTGGGCAGATTCTGCTGTCTAGGGGGTGCAGAATTTCCCCTGCTTGGCAGCCTGGACCCTCCAGGGAGCAGTTCCTGTGGCCTGTGCTGTGCGCCCCCAGGCCAGTGCCTCCACCTCTCTGGGCTCTGTTTTCCTTTTCCAAAATGCAGTTCTTGATGTTCGCCTCCCCCTTCCCTGAGGCCCACAGAGGCCCATGTAGTGCCGGGAGGGGCTGAAGGCCATTGGCTCTGGGCAGTGGGGGATCCTGGCGGGGCCACCAGAGGTGCTGGCCTTGCACACACGTGGGCAGACCCATCTCACCCGGCCCCCACCCCGCAGCGGGCCTGCATCGACTTCGCCATCAGCGCGAAGCCACTTACGCGCCACATGCCGCAGAACAAGCAGAGCTTCCAATACCGGATGTGGCAGTTCGTGGTGTCTCCGCCCTTCGAGTACACCATCATGGCCATGATCGCCCTCAACACCATCGTGCTCATGATGAAGGTGGGCCCTGCGCCGAGCCCTGCCCCCCCAGCACACGGAGCCACCTGGACACCACCCCCCACACACTCCATCCAGGGCCACCTCCCCCAGGAAGCTGGCCCTGGCTGCGCCCAGTGCCCCACCTCAGCCAGCCTCCTGGAAGGGTGACGGCGTGGGCCGGCCCAGGACCGTGGCCCACCCAGTCCCCACCCAGCCCCCACCTGCGAGCTCCCAGCAAGCCTGGTGCAGAGGGAGCAAGAAACGTCCCCCCAGTGTTTGATGAGCAAAATGAGGCAGGAGTTCGGGGTCACAGATCTCCCCAAGAGTGGAAGTCAGCCTCCCCCCGCCCCGTGTCCCACCATCTCCCTGTGGCCCCCAGTGCAGGAGGGGAGCCCCCGTGCTGCAGAATCTCCCATGTCCACCCGAAAATGCGGCGATGTTGGGATTAGCGGCGGCTTCTCCACGTTGGAGGGGCTGGAGCAGGAGGGCAGTGGAGGGGCCAACGCCCCCACCCAGGTTCAATCCCCAGCATCCTGTAGGGTCCCTGAGCAGCCAGGAATGATTCCTGAGCACAGAGCCAGGAGTAATAACCCCTGAGCATCGCAGGGTTTGGCCCCCTGCAAAAAGAGAGAGAGAGAGAGGAATGACCTTTCATGCTGCATCATTCCTGCGGGGGGCAAGGGCTAACCCCTCCCCGCTCAGGGTTTACTCCTGGATCTGCAGTCAGGGGTCACTCCTGGTATGGTTGGGGGGACCATATGGGATGCCAAGGATCAAACCCAGGCCTGCAGGTGCCTTTGCCCCCGTACTGTCTCTGCCCCCTTCTTGTATTTCCCCTGGCGGTGGTGGGGCTCACTCCTGGGGTTACGCCTCGCTGTGCTCAGGGGATCATACAGGGTGCCAGGACCGAAGCCTTGAGCTATGGCCCAAAAACCACGGAAGAGAGATCAGGCTCTGTGGGAAACCGGGGTTGCCTCTAGAGAGGCGAGTGGTCAGGGGGGCGCTGAGGGCTGCGGCCGACCCCCGCGTCCTGTCCCTCCTGTCCCTCCAGTTCTACGGGGCGTCCACAGCCTACGAGAATGCACTCCGGGTGTTCAACATTGTCTTCACGTCGCTCTTCTCCCTGGAATGTCTGCTCAAGGTCATGGCCTTTGGGATCCTGGTGAGTGCGGCCAAGCTGGACACCTGTGGGCTGGGGGCTGGGGGAACCCGCCACGCTCGCTGCAGCCCCCCTCTCGGGGCGCGGTCCCATGCAGTTCCTAGTGCTGTTCCAGAACAGCGTGGTGCCATTCAGTTCCCAGTGCTGTCCCGAAACAGCGTGGTGCCATGCAGTTCCCAGTGCTGTCTAAGAATATCACAGTGTCATGCAGTTCCTAGTGCTGTCCTCACTGAAACCAGGCACACCCTGGACTCTGCCTCCTCACAGCCACCTGTGCCCTGCCGACCAGCAGCCTTGGCCTGCTGCTCCCCGGAGGGGGCGGCCGTGGGGACTGTGTGAATGGCTTCAACACTACCTCCCCTCCCCAGGACCCCAGAATCTGCTTCACTGATAGAAATCCATGGGTGGGCCGGAGCACTAACACAGTGGGTAGCGCAGAGCCAGGGGTTACCCTGAGCATCATCAGGAGTGGGCCAAAGACAGAAAATTTAAAAACCAGAGCACAGCTGGGGTCAGGGAGGAGCTGGAACATAGGTCCGGCATGCTCCATCTCTGAGTTCTATCCTGGCGTGACTGGGAAGTCCGCAGCCCCCTGAGAAAAAGATGAAAGAGCCTTTGCCCACAAGCGGTCCTGAGGGGTCACCTTCGGAGGCCCCAGAGAGGCTGCACCCCTCCTCCCCACATAAGGCACCTTCTCCAGAGAGTGACCCGCAGGATGAGGGGCAACGGGATCCTGGGGTCCCCAAGAGGTCAGAAGTGTCATCCCAGCCTCCCCTCTCCCCAAAACCCAGAGTAACAGCATAGCCGGAAGGACACTGGCCTTGCACATGGCTGACCCAAGTTCAATCCCCAGCACTCATAGGGGCCCCTAAGCCCATCAGGAGTGACCCCTGAGTGCAAAGCCAGGAGTCAGCCCTGGGCACCTCCCGGTATGGCCCCAAAACAAAACTGAAAGAGCCCAACCCGCTGCCTCTAGGAAGGGGGCCTGGGAGCCGGGGACGCCCAGACCCCCACATCGGACATTTCCTCCCCCAGAGCCCTACGCTTGGGGTTGAGTTTGTGGGTCCGTCATCGACACCCCCCCAAACTGCAGCGCAGGGCAGCTTTAGGGGTGCATGCCTCCGTGATTTGTGCCCCAAGTGCATCTGATGCAGGGGAGGGGGCACCTTGCTGTCTGTTGGTGCAGGGGTGGGCCCCAGGTTTGGGCTTTGGGCTGTCAGGGTGCAGCCCACCTTTGGGGTCTCTGTTTGCTTGTCCTTGCGGGGACTCATGGCAGGGGTGGGGGAGTGTCCAATCATGCCCCCCTCTCCATCTGTGTGCGTTCCTACCCCCTGGCGGATGGAGGGACCCCTGGGCTCAGGCCCTTCGCCACGCAGACTGGGGTGTGCACGGAGGGTCAGTCACCGAGAAGGGACATGCAGAGGACAGCAAGGGTCAGCCCTCATCCAGGAAACACGGTTCCCACCAGTGGGTCCTGGCCCCAGGCTTGGGGTGCCCCCTCCCCAATCTCCCCAGCTCCCAGTCCTTGAGGACCCTGGGGAGGGGGGACTTTCCAACACATGATAGGAGGCCTCAGACAGCGTCAGAGCTGGGGCCTGGAGTGGCAGGACAGCAGGGAGGGGCTCACCTTGCCCACAGCCAGCGGGGTTCAGTCCCCAGCATCCTTTAGATGGCCTCCCGAGACCACTCCTCAGCTCAAGGCCAGAGTCAGCCCTGAGCATCCCTGGGTGAGGCCTGAGACTCCCCTGAGAGAGGAATGGGGGCAGCCGGCAGGGCAGAGCTGGGCCCGGGCGTCCAGGAAAGGGGTATGAGTCCCCGCTCTGCTGTTGGCACGCTGCCTCCATGGGAACCAGCGGGTCCCTGCCCAGCGCCCCCTGATGTGGCCCCCCCATTCCAGAACTATTTCCGTGACGCCTGGAACATCTTCGACTTCGTGACGGTCCTTGGCAGCATCACAGACATCCTCGTCACTGAGTTCGGGGTAAGTGTCCCGTGGCCCCTCGCGGGGGGCAGCAGGGATGCTGGGGAGCAGGGGGGCCGGGGGGGGGGGACGCCAGACTCAACCGGAGGGGTGGAACAGGGTGCCCCATTGCAGGCGACGCCCCACTCTCGGGCTCCTCGGGGGGTTTCTCCCTGCTCCCTGGCCGTGAGCTTAGAACGGCAGCGGGCAGGGGGTGCTGGGGAGGGCTGAGACCCAGCGAACCCGGAGGCCATGATCCCAAACCAAGTCTGCTAGCTCCAGCTGGCCTCTTAGAGGGTCCCCAGGCATCTGTCCCACAGCCCACAGCGACTCGGCATCATAACTGCAGAAATGGCCGTGGTCACCAGGCGGCGCTGTGCGGGGGTCGAGGGTCGCGGGGGGGGGGCGGGCAGGGAGCGCTGGGTTCCATCCCCGGCACACCCCCACCAAGGGCCAGAACCGGGCGTGGCCCCTGAACCCAGCCGGATGGGACCCCCAAACAAAAGCTAGTCTCCTCGGAGGGTTTAACTGAAGGGGCCCAGCAGCAGAGGCCACTCAGGGTGGGGACGGAGGGCGGGGGCCGTCCACGCACAGCGCCCAGCACCCGGCAGCGCCAGGGAGGACGGTCGAGGTCACTTAGCCACTCAGGCGTGGGCAGGAGGAGCCTCTTGGGGCAGCGGGCCCAGCCGGATGCTGGACACCGCCACCTGCCAGCCCCACTCTGAAGGACGACCGCCTTGTGGGGGGATTGGGGGTGGGATGCTGTGGGGAGCTAGGGGTGGGATGCTGGGCCCACCAGCAGATCTAGCCCGCCCTGCTAGATGCCCACGGCCACCCCCTTTTCTGCCTCCCAGGTAAGCCCAAGAAGCAGAGGCCAGAGCTCAGCTCGGCGGAGGCGAGGGGGAGCCGGGCCCTTGAGGGTCCTGGGACCGGGCGGGGCCGGGAGGGCGGACGACGGATAATGACTGTTTCTTGTCTTGTCTCTTTCCATGCCTGCTGTTTAAACTGTCTATTGGCGCAACGCCGTCTGAAAAACTCATCCAATCAAAATGCACTATGAAATTCATGTCCCTCTCATGACATGGTCTGTGTGTCCATTCACCAATGGTCGCCCCCAACCCGCCACCTTCCCGGACACCCATGGGGTTTTTTTTGGCACTGGTTACCAATCAACCTAAAAAAACGCTGGCCACACCTCCCCAACCGCCCCACCCGCTCCCCTCACCTTCAACATCTGCACCCAGAATCCGGTTGGTCTTTCTTCTTTCTTGAGTCTGAACGCCGCCACACCCGCACCCTGCACCCCGCGCCCCGCACCGCAGTGCCCGCTGCACGCCGCCACCTCGCACACCCCACCCGGCCGTCTGTCCGTCTGTGTGTCTGTCCACCCACCCCAGCTCCCGCTCCCTCGTCTTCTGGTGGGGGGGCGGGTCTCTGCAGCAAGCCAACCCCGAGGTCACATGCTCTGTGCTCCCGGCCCCAGGGAGGAGCCCGGCCAGTGGCAGCAGCCCGCTCGGCACTGGGGACGCCAGGGATGGGGCCTGGTTCGTCCTGCTGAGGTGTCCTCCTGGTCCCAGGTCTGTCCACGCCGCGTGTGTGTGCCTGCACATAGCACACACCTGTACATGCATGGCATACACGGTGCACACGCATGTGGACAAAGCACAGGTCTACCCAGATGTGCACGTGACACCAACATGCTCACACATTCCCACACAGCACATGCATGCTCATACGCATGCTCACAGACTCACGCTCAAACACGCTCGTGCACGCTCACGCACACTCACACATGCTCAAACACATATGCTCACACAGGCTCATGCTCGTGCACGCTCACATGCTCAAACACACACATGCTCACACACATGCTCATGCACGCTCACGCGCTCACATGCTCACACATGCTCCCACATGCTCCAGCACATGCATGCTCACAGCACACACATGCTCACACAACACACACACTTATAGCACACGCATGCTCACAGCACACACATGCTCACACCCTTACGCTCACATACCGCACATGCTTACAGCACACACATGCTTACACAGCACACACGCTCCAGCACGTGCCCAGACACGTGCATGCACAGGCAATGACAGTCTCCCCTGCCTCCCGGGCCCACCCTCGCTCCCTCCGTCCGTTTCTCACCCTGCCCGGGACAGCCACTCACAGGCACCCTGTTCCCCAGGCGCCTTAGAAGGACCCCTGGTGGCATCTCTGCAGGGGAGCCAGCCTCCCATATGCACCCCCTAACACTAGTGAGCCCCCATGGAGAGCCTGAGGGGATAGGAAGGCAGGCGCGCACCACAGCACACAGTCCAGTGGGGGAGGCCCAGCCCACCCAAAGAGGGTTGAGTCGGATAACAGGGACATCCTCAGCCCCAGAACTGAGCCGAAGGGGGAGCTAGGCAGAGGGGTGAGGGAAGGAGGGAGACCCCCTCCCAAGGGGAGAGGCCCTGTGGCAGGCCTCCTGGGGACTGGGGGTCTGGAGCTTGCCCAAGGCTGTGTCGTGGGGTCCGGAGTTCGGGAGAAGGTGGGATGAGGGCAGAGGAGGCCTGTGGCCAGAGCTTGCAGGGACCTTTGGGGACCCCCTCCCGAGCCAGGGTGAGGGGTGTGGCCCCAGAAGCAAGACCCAGGGTCCCCGCGATGTTTGAGGGTCCTCCTGCTCAGCTGGGGGCGCGGAAAGGCGGGACAGGGCTGTCTGCGGGAGGGTCTCATCTAGTGTCACCTCCACGTGTCTCCTGCCGCATGTCCCCCTCACAGCCCTCCGGCGCCTCCTGCATGCGCTTCCCCGCACCCCGTGCCTGCCACTGCATGGGGGGCAGAGTCTCCATGTTGTGCCCCCACCCCCGTGAAGGGATGGCTTGACCTCTGGGCATGGCTGGGGGGGTCGGGCTCCCCCATCCCCAGGTGGAACTGGGTGGCCGGGCGCCAGGTCAGAGAGAGGCCCAGGCTGTGGGGGGTCAGGGGACACTCAGGACCAGTGTCAGAGTAGCGCTCCCAGCCCTCTCCACCGCCCCGCAACCTGGGGGCCTTAGGGGCCTCTGGCCAGCACCCTCTTCCCTCAGCCCCCACCCTCAGACCTAGCATCAGATAGACCCAGGCACACCCCACCCACGCTGCGGCCCCTTAGAATCACTCAAATGCACCTTCCCAACTCACTTTTTCTTTTTTTTTTTTCTTTTTGGATCACACCTGGCGATGCACAGGGGTGACTCCTGGCTCTGCACTCAGGAATTACTCCTAGCGGTGCTCAGGGGACCATTATGGGATGCTGGGAATCGAACTCCGGGTCAGCGGCATGCAAGGCAAACGCCCCACCCGCTCCAGCCCCTCATTTTCTTCTTTTGGCTTCTCGGGGCTCCCCAGCTGAGCCCCCGTCCCCGCCCCCCCCCCACCTTTTGAGGCGTGGGCATATTTGGGACAATCTGCCTGCCCATCCCCCACCCTGTATCATTTATGGGCGGAGCCACAGGTCACTTTAAATCTTGCACGGTGACCCCAAATCCCAGCCAACAGAACCGGCTAAAAACACCCCCCAGCACCCTGTGAGTCTCCCCACCGCAGGGGGTCTCAGGACCACCCGCCTGTGGCTGAGGGCCACACAGAAGCCGGGAGGCAGGTGGGAGGAGCAGCCCCCACTGAACCCCCAATCGCTGGCCAGAAATCGGGTATGCCAATCCTGGGCACACCCTCCTGGCCTTTATTTTTTTAAGACGAGAGGGGAAAAGATAACGTTTGAAGCTGGACTTAGTTAGATTCAGGCATTCAGCCCGTGCGTGACTTCCGGTCCTTGGGCTTCCCCCACCAGCGCCCTCTGGAGGCCTCGGCGGGAAGGACAGGTGCTGTCCCCCACCAATAGTCCAGGGTCCGCCGGGGCCCTTCCCGCGGACAGGGGGTGGGGGGCAGAGACAGCCACTAGGCCCAGGGGTCCTTGAACCAAGACAGGGGCCACCCAGGGGGCCCTGGGGGCAGGGACGGCCCTAGCACCGGCCCCTCGGTGCTGCCCCCACCCACGGGTGCCGCGTACTTACTGCTTCCCGCAGGCCTGGTCCCGCGCTATGCTACTGCACCCAGTCCCCGGAGCTGAGAAGCCATCCCTGAGCGGGGGGAAAAGGGCCCCAAATGCATCTTCTCCGACTCAGCGGGCAGCGCGGACTCGCCCTGCGGCCGACCAGCCCCAGCTCCCTCCCGTCCTCCCCATGCCCGCTCGCCAAGGGGGTAAGAACAGATGCTCGTGCGCTTCTCCCGTTGGCTCCAGCCGCTGCTGCTCTTGGCCGCGGGGTGAGGTCAGGGCGGGCAGGAGCGGGTGGGCCGCTCGGCCGGGCAGGGCAGGGCAGGGCAGGGCAGGGCCAGGCGCCCGGTGAGTCCCCGTCGACAGATGCATTTCCGGCCCGGGAGCGCGACATGCCCTGGGGAGCCCCGCACCTCCCCGCCCCGCACGCGGCACCCCGGCCTGAGCGTGCTGGCCACCACCCCCGCGCGCCCCCTCCTGGCCCCCTCGTGTCGTTGCATCCTACACGTGTGATGAATTAGGCAACTTGCCTCCTCCGTCTCAGTGCATTTGGTTGTTGGGAGAAGTAAAAACCATCTCGATTTACTTTTTCTTTTTCTTTTTTTTTCCTGATTGGATGATTCGGATATTATTTTCTTTTTCTTCTTCTTTGGTTATTTCGACCTCCCCCTCCCCCTCTCTTGCATCCCTTCATTTCCTCCCTTTTTCTTTCTTTCTCCTCCCTTTGGAGGGTGGGTCTGGCTGGGTGGGTACCTTTTTTTTCTCTCTCCACCTTTTCTCTCCCGTTCCCCCCACCCCGCACCTCGACTTTGTTCCTTTTAATTCTTTTGTTTCGTTTTAAACCCCTCCGCACCATTGCATTAAAAGTGCTTTCTCTCCTCTCCCTCCTTATTTGGGGGTCTGGCTTGCTTTTTCCTGTTGGTTGGCTTCATATAGGGGTCTCTGTAAGTGGTGATGGCTCTGAGCACCCGCGGGTGGGTGGACCGTCACCCCGCTTTCTCCGTCTCCCCCAGAACAACTTCATCAACTTGAGTTTCCTTCGCCTCTTCCGCGCTGCCCGGCTCATCAAACTCCTCCGTCAGGGTTATACCATCCGCATTCTCCTCTGGACCTTTGTACAGTCCTTCAAGGTGAGCCCCCACCTAGGGCCGGCCTGAGCAGATGAGCGCACACACAGTCTGACCCCGCAACCACGCTGGACCGTGGCTGCAGATCCTTCTCCTCCAGGCGGCTCATCTATCTGCCTGGCGCCACTGTTTCATGAAGCTCCAGAATGCCTGGCGCCCGGTCCCAGAGCTCTGGGGTGAGAGAGGGACACTGGGTAAGGGCCCCCGGCACCCTCCCTCATGCCTTCCTTCCCACCAGGCGCTGCCCTATGTCTGCCTGCTGATCGCCATGCTGTTCTTCATTTATGCCATCATCGGGATGCAGGTGAGCACCCGAGCCCTCCTCCGGCTCGAGGCACGCAGGGAAAATCAGTCTAGGGATTTGTGAGGGCGCTGCCGTGGGGGTGGGGGACACGGCCACCGCTGGTCAGCATCCTCCAATTCCCCAGGTGTTTGGCAACATCGGCATCGACGTGGAGGACGAGGACAGCGATGAGGACGAGTTCCAAATCACTGAGCACAATAACTTTCGAACCTTCTTCCAGGCCCTCATGCTTCTCTTCCGGTAAGCGGGTATACGGCCTTTCCCTGTCATATTCCAGTAGAGTTCTCCATCCTCTTCCAGAAGGGGGCGTGTCCCCCCTTCTCTTCCAATAGTAGACAAGTCCTTTCCCTTCTCCTCCAATACAAGGCGTGTCCTCTCCCTTTTCTTCCAATAGGGGATGAGTCCTTTCCCAGCTCTTTCTGTAGGGGCGTGTCCTTTCCCTTTTGTTCCAATAGGGAACGCGTCCTTTTCCTTCTCTTCCTGAAGGGGCGTGTCCTTTCCTTCTCTTCCGGTAGGGGCGTGTCCTATCCTGGCTCTTTTGTAGGGGCGTGTCCTTTCCCTTTTGTTCCAATAGGGGACGCGTCCGGGTTCCTTCTCTTTCTGAGGGGGCGTGTCCGTTCCTTCTCTTCCGGTAGGGGTGTGTCCTCTCCCACTGGTGGGGTGGGGATAATGTCAACTGAGCTGACATCCCTAAGGCATGTAATGGCATTTCCCAATCTTTGTGGAATCCTCCTGACCATGGGGTGAGGTGTGAATTTTGGGTTACAGCCCTTCTGATGGATGAGGAAACTTGAGGCTTTTGAGGCTCAGGCTTGGTGATGGTTCATGCTGGTGCAATTTTTCACTTGTGCTTGTTTTGATTCAAAAGGCACTGGTGCATTGATGCTCCTCCTGCTCCGGGTGGGAGTCGCTCCTGGTCGCGGTGGTCTGAGGGGGGCGGGGGCAAACAGGGTCGCTGATGTCCCTCTTCACCCGCAGGAGTGCCACCGGGGAGGCGTGGCACAACATCATGCTCTCCTGTCTCAGCGGGAAGCCCTGCGACAAGAACTCGGGCATCCTGACCCCAGAGTGCGGCAATGAGTTTGCGTATTTCTACTTTGTGTCCTTCATCTTCCTCTGCTCATTCCTGGTGAGCGTGCGGGGGGCTGCCCCCCACCCCAGGCCTGGCTTCCCTCTCAGGCCAGAGCTTCTCCAGAAGGGGACCCTGTGGCATGCTGGCTCCCTCCAGTACATCCTGGAGTCTCTGGGAGTCCCAATGGCTACAACCCCCAGACCTGAGGGTCCTGGAAGGGGACCGTGGAGGCCACTACAGGGGGCTCATAGCATCCCCGTGACTTGTTCCCAACTTGGGGCTGGAGCGAAAGCACAGCAGCAGGGCGCTTGCCTTGCACATGGCCTGGGTTCGACCCTCAGCACCCCATATGGTTCCTTGAATGCACCAGGACTGAGCCCTGAGCTTGGAGCCAGGAGTGAGCCCTGAGCATTGCCTGGTGTGACCCAAAAATGAAAAAAAGTCTCCATGGACAGGAGAGCCAGTAGAGGGGAGCTCTGTCCTGGGCACAGCGACCCAGGCGCAGCCCCTGGCCCCGAATGCAGTGACCCTGGGACATGACCAGGAGTCAGCCCTGAGCGCCACTGGATGTGGGATGGCCTCAACTCAGTGTGGTCCGGAAGGAAAGGGACCACCTCCCCCCCCCAACAAGGGACTAAGTTTTGCAAAATCCAAGAGGCAAGGTTGATGCAAGCCCTCTGTGTGCTAAGAGCTAGACTCAGTAATGAATGGACGCTATAAGGTAGAGAAAGTCCAACCAGCCAAACACATACTCATCCATCTATCACCCACCCAGTCACCCTCCCATCATTCCACTCATCCACCTATCTGCCCACCCACCCAACCACTTATCCATCCATTCGTCTACCCAGCCACGCTCATCCATCCACCCACCCACCCACCCATCTATCCATTCACCCACCCAACATCTATCCATTCATCCCACAAATCCATCCACCCAACAACCCACCACCCAATCACCCTGCCACACTCTCATTCATCCATACACCCACCCATCCACCCACCAATCCACTCCCCAACCCATCAATCCACCTACCACCCACCCATTCCTCATCTATCCACCTATCTACCCGTCCACCCACCCTGTATCCATCTGTGCGTCCATCCATCCCCCAGTCCTATCACCTCTGTCCATTCTTCCATCTGAGAACTATTTGCCAGTTGCTTGCTTTGTGCTGGCCGGACACACGAGGTGGTTGTGTAAAGTTCTCTGTGGTCTTGTAGAGGGGTAGGGGGCCTTTGGGGGGGGCGGGGCCTGGCCTTCCCCGTACCCTCATTCTCCTTCTCGTGCACCCTGTCTCCTCTCTCTGGGTTTTGGGGTTCCCTCTCCCTCTACCCCAGCGGGTGTGAGGTCGGATCTCACCGTGGGGTCCCCACAGATGCTGAACCTCTTCGTCGCTGTCATCATGGATAATTTCGAGTACCTGACGCGGGACTCCTCCATCCTGGGCCCGCACCACCTGGACGAGTACGTGCGTGTGTGGGCCGAGTACGACCCCGCTGCGTGGTAAGGCAGCCCCCAGATTGGGGCGCGCTGGGCACTGGGGGGGCGGGGTTCGCTGGGATAAACACCCTGGGGGCGGGCCCGGGGGCGGGGCAGCCGGGGAAGGGCGTCCTCTGGGATGGCACCCAGGGGCGGGACCTCGGGGCTGGGCACCCTGGGGGCGGCGTCCTCGGGAGCCCGTGAAGCTGAGGAAAGGGTCCAATCCCCCCGCTCCGTGGGCACCCCTCCCGCCACAGTCCTGACCCTTCAGCTCCTCTGAGCATCGCCGAGCGTGAGAATCGTGTCGGACCAGGGCGGGGACACACGGAGCTGGCCTGGCGCGGTGCTGGGGAACAGCCCGCAGACAGCAGAGCCCAGCTCCGCCCAGCCGGGACGCCAGGACCCCCACCCCAAGCCAAGGAGACCCAGACTCTAGGGCTCCCGGGCGTCCCTGGCGAGGTCACCCCATCTAGGAGACTCGGGGGTCCCCACGCCGGCCAACCAGGACGCAGCTGCACACTGCAGGCTGCTCTGCATCCATCCTCCGTGCCCCACCCCCGCCCGGGTGCAGGGTAGGGGGAAGCCCCAACACCCCACCCGGCTGCTGTCCCTGCAGGGGTCCCCTAACTGTCCCCTTCTGATGGAGGTCAGTAGTGCCCAGGCCCTCCGCCTCCCGGCCCTGCCCTGACAAAAAGTGTCCCCCTGGGGACTGGAGTGACAGCACAGCGGGGAGGGCGCTTGCCTTGCACGCGGCTGACCCGGGTTCGATCCCCGGCATCCCACAGGGTCCCCTCAGCACCGCCAGGGGTAATTCCTGAGTGCAGAGCCAGGAGTAACCCCTGAGCATCGCTGGGTGTGACCCAAAAGGTGGGGAAAAAAAGGGAAGAAAAAAAGAAAGTGTCCCGGAAGTGCTCCCTGCCCCCTTCCAGGTCCCCCAGGAGCTCAGGAAGCAGCTCGGGGACCCCTCCCCACAGAGCCCTGCAGGCCGAGGGGCCCCGCCGCCTGCACTCACTAACGGCCTGTCTTCTCCTTGCAGCGGCCGCATCCATTATAAGGACATGTACAGTTTATTACGAGTCATTTCTCCCCCCCTCGGCTTAGGCAAGAAGTGCCCACATAGGGTGGCGTGCAAGGTCCGATTCCGCCCGCGCTGCCCCCCCCTGGAATGAGCGCGGCTTGGGGCCCCCATATATATATTTCATATATATATATATACACACACACATTTATCTCTTAAAACGGACCACACCGAGCCGGCCGCGCATTAGAGCCGAAGAGTCTCTGCCCACAGAATGCCCGGCGCGCCCAGACGCATGGACCATCTGCTGCGCCCCAGCCATGCCCGCTTGCTCCCAGCTGCCCACCCGGGAGTCTCTGCAGCCCCCCAAATCAGACCCATGAGGGGGCGGGATCGGGACTTCACAACGTCCCCCACAACCATCCCCGCTAACTCTCCCTCCTCCCTGTGCCCCCGGCCCTCCTCCCACACCGCCCCGACCTCCTCCAGCTCAGAGACCAGCCTCAGGCACACAGTGAGCACCCCCATTTTTCTAAATGCCACGGGACCCCGAGTGTGGCTTACGGGCCTGTCAGAGGGAGAGAACCCCAGCGCCCCCCAGCGCCCCCTCCCTGGAGCCTGGATGAAATCTGACCTCTGTTTCTTTTCTCTCTCTCCCCCTGCTCATAAGCAGAGAAGTGACCCCTTTTTTGTTCCTCGATGACCTTGGCTTCCGTTTTTCCCCCCACCGCCAGCCCCTCCTGCCCTCCGCCCACCCTGTTTCTTTGTCCCTCGCTGTCCTTTGCGTTGCTGTCTTGTGGTTTTTCTCCTTTGACTTTTTCATTCTTGATTTGGTCGGTTGGTTTGGGTGGCTTTTGTTTGGGGGTCTCCGGGGTCTCGGTCTCTGTCATCGGGGGAGTTGTTTCTGTTCGGAGGATTGTGTGTGTGACGGTGTTTTTGTTTTGCTTTTGGGCGATTGTTCGTGGGGTTTCTGTTTCCATTGTCTTGTGTTTGGGGGTTGTGAGGATTTGGAGGGCGGCTGTTGTTTTGTTTGGGGGGCCATTTTCATTTATCTTGTTTGGGGGGTTTGGGTTTGTTTCGTTTTCTTTTGGGGGGCTGTGGTCGGGGTGTGTGTGTGTTTCTCCCTCCGCTGCCGTATCTTCCCCACCCTCGCCGTCGGTTCTCTGTCCCACCCGCACCCCGTTGTTTTTTTTTTTTTTTTTTTTTGTGCTTGTGTCTCGGCGCTGCCAGGGGCCGCATGCCTTACCCGGACATGTACCAGATGCTGCGGCACATGTCCCCGCCTCTGGGCCTGGGGAAGAAGTGCCCCGCCCGGATGGCGTACAAGGTAGCTACCCCGCCCGGCCCGGCCGGCGCCCGGCCACCTTTCCAGCCTTACTTTTCTCTTCTTCTTCTTCTTCTCCTCCTCCTTCTACTTCTTCTTCATTTATTTTTCCCCCTTCTTTTTTTTTTGTTCTTGTTTTTTTCCCTTTTTCTTCTTTCGTTTTTGACCCTAAGCCACCGGCCTCTCCCCACTGTGCCCCGAATCCCCCCAAACCGCCTGTCGCTCTGGTGAGTGTGTCTTGGTGCTTTGAGACTCCATTATGGCAGACACGCAGGGGGGAGGGGGGAGCCCCTGGGCGCCCCGGACCCAGATTGGACACAGCCATGCTTTGAGGGGATGGCCCCCAGCCCCCCACAGCCCGCACCCCGGCCATGGCCATCGCGTGCGCTGTGGGGTGACGCTGCCCCCCCCAGCCCAGAGACGCAGAGACCTTGGGATGTCTTTTGTATCTTGCGTCCCCCAAATCCAGGCAACTCTGAAGCTGATCTCAGACCTCAAGCCCCCCTCCCGGGGCACCCCAGTCTGGCCCCACACCCCGCTCACCCCGGAGTCGCTCCCTCAGCCCCTGCCCCCTGCCACTCAACCCCACCCTCCCCCAAGATTCGCCCCCCAACATCCTCTCATTGTTCCAGACGGGGCAGGTGGGCCGCCGCCGGACCCCTGGACCGTGGCACCCAGCGCAGGCCGTGCACGCTGCCTTGGCAGGGGCCCTGGGCAGACCAGCACCCATGCGGCCGGGGCGGGCGGGGGGTGCATGTAGCTGATGGAGCCCAGCGGCCGGCGGCCACCCCGGAATCTCCCTTGGCACCCCAAGACTCTGTCCACCCCCAGCCACGAGACCCTCAGGGAAACTTTGTCTCCCCCATCCCCAAAACGGTCCTGTGACCTCATTTCCCACCGCTACCCCTTGGTCCACTCTGGGTGGAGGAGAGCCCCCCAGCCCTGTCCAAAGTCTCTCCCCACCCCCTCGGGGAGGACGCATCCTGCTGCCGCCCAACGCCCCTCCCTCCCTGCCTCTCCTCCCTCTGCCCCTCCCGGGCTCCCTTTTCCGAACCCTCCAGCAGAGGGGGAGGTGTGGGAGACAGGGACATGTGGCCCGGGTGATGGGGCTCAGAGCCCCTCTGCGGGGAATGAGTGGCCATGCCATGCTCGCGTGGGGTCACACGCTTCTCGGCCATGCTGGCATCCAAAAAACTGCACTTCGAAAGCTCCTTGAGCAGTGCACAACCCGCTGGTCTGTGCCAGGCGAGCATCGGGCCCACAGCCCCCCCATTCCGGCCTCTCTCCCTTTCTCCCGTGTCCCACCCTGAGTGCCCTGTGGAGGTGACCTCAGCCCCGTGCCCCCTGCCCTCCACTCTCACCCGTGGGGGACACAGAGCCCCTTTTCCTGGGGCGCAGAGAGAACTTTTTCTCCTGGGCCACGGGCAGACCCCGGCCTGCGAGGAGAGCGCCCCCAATCCGGACCCACCCCCAGACCCACTTCCCGCGGAGCTATGACTGAGTCTCGAGATTCCGTCGCATGCGTCACCTGTCTGCCGTTCTGTGTCACCGCTCGCATGCTGCCAGGGGGCGCTTCTCCCCGAGTGCGGGCCCGGCCAGGGCTGGGGTGGGAGCTGGCGCTCCCCGCCCCGCCCCACCCCGCCGGCTGCTGCATGCTCTGCTCCTGACCCGCCTGCATCCTTCTCTCCCGGGGTCGGGGTCGGAAGGGGCCCGCGGGGAAGAGCTCGGGGGCCGCGGGCCGCCCGGGGGAGCCCCAGTGCCACGCCCCCCGCGGGGGCCAGCGGGCCTGGGGTCCCCAGGGTAGAGGCCGGGCCGGGTTGGAGGAGCTGAGCTGCCCCCGAGGTCTTCCTCAGGCCCCTTCCGCGGGCGGGGCGGGTGAGGCCTGAGGGGGGGGGGGCCCGCGGGGGCCCGGGCTTGACCCCGCACCCCGGTGTCCTGCAGAGGCTGCTCCGCATGGACCTGCCCGTGGCGGACGACAACACGGTGCACTTCAACTCGACGCTCATGGCGCTCATCCGCACGGCGCTGGACATCAAGATCGCCAAGGGTGAGGGCGGGGGGCCGGCCGCCCCCCACCTGGTCTCTGTGGCCGCGGCTCCCGCCTCGCTGGTGCCCTCTGCTTGCTGTGCGGGGAGGGTCGCCTGGGCCTCCCACGCCTCCACCTGGGGGCTGAGCTGGGGGGGTCCTCGCCGGCGCCCTCTGCTGGCTGTGCAGGGGAGCGTCCCCTGAGCCTCCCACACCCCCACCTGGGGGCTGAGCTGGGGGGTCCTCGCCGGCGCCCTCTGCTGGCTGTGCGGGGAGCGTCCCCTGGGCCTCCCACACCCCCACCTGGGGGCTGAGTTGGGGGGTCCTCGCCGGCGCCCTCTGCTGGCTGTGCAGGGGAGTGTCCCCTGAGCCTCCCACACCCCCACCTGGGGGCTGAGCTGGCGGGGTCCTCGCTGGCGCCCTCTGCTGGCTGTGCAGGGGAGCGTCCCCTGGGCCTCACGCCCTGACCTTGGGGGCTGAGCTGTGGGTCCTGGGGCAAGGTCTTTGCTTTAACTATGTGGCCAGTGTCCCTTCCATACCTGTTAGGGACATGTTTGAACTGTGCCCCCGTCCCAGGGTTGGGGGCGCTCAGATAAGGTGAGGCAGAGGCCCTCGGAGGCACCTCCCGTGTCTGGCAAGCAGATGGGCAAAGGCGTCAATATGAGCCCGGTGTCCCCACTGGGTACCCCCACCCCTGCGGTGACACGGCTGTTTTTCCATGAGCCCCCCCACGGCCCATGGTGCCCCCCCTCATGACCCCTCTGTGCCCAGGAGGTGCCGACAAGCAGCAGATGGATGCCGAGCTGAGGAAGGAGATGATGGCCATCTGGCCCAACCTGTCCCAGAAGACACTGGACCTCCTGGTGACCCCCCACAAGTGTAAGCATCGGGCCGGGCGAGGGGGGTGGCCCGGCTGGTGCAAGCCAGCGGTGCTCAGTCTCAGTGACCTTCTGCCGCCCCCCAGCCACGGACCTGACGGTGGGGAAGATCTACGCGGCAATGATGATCATGGAGTACTACCGGCAGAGCAAGGCCAAGAAGCTCCAGGCCATGCGCGAGGAGCAGGTGGGGACCCCGTCCGGGTGATGGAGAGGGGGAGACAGAGCCGGGCGTGGGGGTGAGGGGGCTGCTACCGGACAGGGCCAACAACCCGTGCAAAGGCCCTGAGGCAGAGCAGTGAGCCGAATCCGTGGACAGCGAAGAGGTCAGTGTGCAGAGCCAGAAGGGCAGTGGGAGTCAAGAGTAGGCGGGGCAGGGGTTGTCTAGCGTCTTCCGCTGTGGGTGGGGCTTGAACTTTTACCTGGGCAGGAGGTGGAGACGCTGCAGCCCGGAAATGGCTTTACGATGTCTCTTGCGGCGCCCTCTGCTGGCCAGGGGTGGTAGGACGTCCAGGCAGCTGCGGTGGCCTGGAAGGGAGCGTCCATCTGACTGTGTGCTGCCGGGCAGGGCCACCAAGTCCCCGAATGACTTCGAGGAGCTGGAGCAGTCAGACAGTGGGGAAGGTGCCGGCCTTGCACGTGGCTGCCCGGGCTCAATCCCGGGCATCCCATGGGGCCCTGGGAGCACTGCCAGGAGTGAGCCCTGAGCACCGTCTGACTTGGCGTGCTGGGCATATGGCCCAGAGTCAGGCCTCCCTGGGTTCAGCCCCCACAGCTCTGTGTCCCCCAACACTGATGGGTGTGGCCCTTCCTCATGGCTCCTGTGGAATTCAATGGTTTCTTGGGGGGCACCAAAGCATCCCCCCTGTACCCCCTACTGTGCCATCAGTCATAGCCTTGGCCAGCCCTGGGCCTGGGCATTCCCCTGGCCCAGCCCACATTTCTCTTCCCCCCAGAACCGGACGCCCCTCATGTTCCAGCGAATGGAGCCCCCGTCCCCGACTCAGGAAGGGGGCCCCGGGCAGAACGCGCTGCCATCCACTCAGCTGGAGCCTGGAGGTGGCCTGTGAGTGTCCCCGCTGGGCAGAAGTCGGGCGGGGGTCCTGGGCCAGCCCCACCAGCATGCCCCCAGTGCCCGGCTCTGTCCCACACCCCTGCCCAGGATGGCTCACGAGGGTGGCCTCAAGGATAGCCCGTCATGGGTGACCCAGCGCGCCCAGGAGATGTTCCAGAAGACAGGAGCCTGGAGCCCGGAGCGAGGGCCCCCCGCCAACATGCCCAACAGCCAGCCTGAATCACAGGTGCTGCCCCGCGCCCCCCCCAGTACCCTGGCCCGGGAGTCCCGCGTGCCCCCTCCACGGCTCACCCCTGCCCCGTGCCCACAGTCTGTGGAGATGCGGGAGATGTGCAGAGACGGCTACTCGGACAGCGAGCACCACCTCCCCATGGATGGCCAGGCCCGTGCCACCTCCATGCCCCGCCTCCCCGCCGAGAACCAGGTGAGCGCCACCACCCTCCACCCGGGCACCCCAGCACCAGCACCCCATGGGCCATGGCCGAGATCCTGGGGGCCTCGTCCCCAGCCTGCACTTGGAAGCCAGTTCTGGCTGCGACGAGGGGGTGGGGGGAGGTTCCCCAGGGTGCTGGGAGGCGGGGAGGGGCGGGGCACAGGAGGCGGGGCACAGGCGGGGGGGGGGGGGAGGGGGAGCAGGTGCTTGAAAACTGGGAGACTGTGGTGATGAACACACACATGCACACACGCAGTCACCACATGTGCTGTTGTTCCCGTACAGACGGCGTGCATATGTGATCCAGTACACATGTGTATATGGTGCACTCACGTTCATATGCGGGCACCATCACACCTGCACATGGCTCACTCGCACACACAGCTCACATGCATGCACACGTACATGTGGGTGTGCTTGCGATAGTTCACACACATGCCCCAGCAACATACGCACACGTGTGTACTCACATGCATGCATGTATGCTCACATTCATGCTCTGGCACGTGCACACACGTGTGCCCACATATAGGCACTGTGACACATCTAGTCACAAACACGGACCACTTGTGTGTGCTCACACAGCCTACACACGTGCACCGTCATGTACTCACAGGCTACACACAGCTCAAATACACGTACCGTCACATTTTCGCACAGAGGTGATTACATATCCCCTGAAATGTGCCCGTGTTACACAGCTTAAACACAGGCACTGTCCTGCACACGTGTGTGCACTCACATGCACGGTCGCGTGTGTGCACATGGGTCCGCACATGCGTGCATGGCCATGTGTATCATGAGTGTGTGCGTGCATGTGTGGGGCGTGAGCACACGTGAGCATCGGCCCTGCGCGCATTTGTCCGTGTGTGTGCTCCGTGCGCCTGTGCTGTGTCGCCGCTTGAACGCGAGCGGGCGCGAGCATGGCGCCACAGCTGCACACGCGTGGGCTGCCGCGCTGCAGAGTCCTCGCAGGGATGGCAGGTTCGCCGGGCGCGGGAGGGGGGGGGGGGGCAGCTTTGCCAGCTATAGCGCCCTCTGGTGGTGGCGTGGGGGTATGCGCCCTCCCCCTCCTGAGGTGCAGAAGCATGGGGGGGGCTGCCCGCATCGCTGCCCTGTGCTGTGCTGTGCGCAGGGGCCTGGCCTCCTCCGGCACCGCGAGATCCTGGGGGCCTCGTCCCCAGCCTGCATGTGCCAGCCCTGCCCCCTACCACTAGGACCCACCCGCCCCCAGCCCACCAGCTCTGAGCTGGCGCTGGTGGGGGCCGCCCCCAGCTCTGCCTGTCAGCTGCAGCCAGGATTGGCGCATGGCATGAGGCAGCTCTGAGGCCAGAGGCGTTGGTCCCTCTCCCTCCTGTCGTCTCAAGCCTCTGCCATCTGACTGTCTATCTTGGTCTCCTCTGTGCGCGGAAGGGAGGATGCCGCCTCCTGGGGTCTCCCCAGGCCCCCGGAACTGTCACCCATCTTTCTCCGCTCTCCACTTCCTCCTTTCCGACTGTCTCTGGCCCTCTCTCTCCCCACCCCTCTGGCTCGTGTATTTATTTCCTTCTTTCTGATTTTTCTGTGCGCACCACCCCCTGGGGCTGCGACAGAGGCGACGGGGCCGGCCGCGTGGGAATAACCTGAGTGTATGTACCTCCCGGCCGGCGCCGGCCCTGCTGCCGTGTCCTCTGTGCCCAGGGCACCCCCGCCCCTTCTCGACATCACCCCGGACCACGGACCCCCACCTCTCTCTCTCTCTCTCTGGGGTTCGGACCCCCAACATCGGCAGGTCCTCAGGGTCCCGGAAAGTCCCTGCCTTGGTCCAGGCCCAGCCTGAGGCCCGGTGCCCCCACCCCCCCTGTCCTGTCCATTCGTTCGCATAAGCCCCGGTGTGCAGGAAGTAGGAGCCCCCTCCAGGAGCCAGACTTGGGGGGCGGAAAGGGGCCAGGATGCCCGCGGGATAATGCAGCCGCTCTGGGCTGGCCCCAAGCTCGGAGCTGAGCTGGGGCTCCTCGCGCGCGCCCCCCACCCGGTGGGGGCAGGCGGGTCTGCGCCGGGGTCCTGGGGGTCAGCGGTTCTGACCGGCTTGCGGCTGTGCCCCCAGACCATCTCGGACAGCAGCCCCATGAAGCGCTCGGCGTCAGTGCTGGGCCCCAAGGCGCGGCGCCTGGACGACTACTCCCTGGAGCGGGTCCCGCCAGAGGACACGCAGCGCCACCACCCCCGGCCCCGCGGGGAGCGCGGCCACCGCACCTCCCAGCGCTCCCTCGGCCGCTACACCGACGTGGACACAGGTGGGCCCGGTGGACACAGGTGGGCCCCCCTGCCGCCCGCCCCGCCGCGCCCCGCCTCACGCCCACGCCCGTCTCCCCTGCCCAGGCCTGGGGACTGACCTGAGTGTGACCACCCAGTCCGGGGACCTGCCCCCCAAGGAGCGGGAGCAGGAGCGGGGCCGGCCCAAGGACCGGAAGCACCGGCACCACCACCACCACCACCACCCGCCCCCCGAGCGGCCCGAGCACAGCCGGCCCCGGGCCCGCGACCAGCGCTGGTCCCGCTCGCCCAGCGAGGGCCGGGAGCACATGACACACCGGCAGGTGGGTGCCACGGGGGAGGAGCGCAGGGAGGAGGGAGAAGAGGAGGAGAGGGAGGGAGGACAGAGAGGGGGCGGGAGGGGGAGGGGAGGAGGGCGCCCCTGCTCCCCCCTCCCCTGCCCCGCTCCTCGCACCCGCCTTCCCCCGCCCCGCCCCGCCCCGCCCCGCCCCTCCCGAGTGGATCTCAGACCGGCCGGGCTGGGCTGCGGCCGGCCCGGAGACTGACCGCGACTCCGTCTCTCGTTTCTCTCCCACTTTGTTGTGTTGGTTTTGCCCCCCCTCGTCTGCCCCGCCCGCCCCGGCGGCCCCTCCCCGCGCCCCCGTGTCTCCCGCCCGTCCCTTCCCGTCCCGTCCCGGTTATTTCTTCGTCGTATCTTTTTTTTTGATTCCCTTTGTTTTAATTTTCGTGTAGGGCAGTAGTTCCGTAAGCGGAAGCCCAGCCCCTTCAACGTCTGGCACCAGCACTCCGCGGCGGGGGCGCCGCCAGCTCCCCCAGACCCCCTGCACCCCGCGGCCGCACGTGTCCTATTCCCCCGTGATCCGTAAGGCGGGCGGCGCGGGTGCGGCGCAGCAGCGGGCACTGCCCGGCGGCCCGCGGAGGTACCCGGGGCCCGGGGCCGAGCCCGGGCCCGGGGAGCGACCCCCGGTGGGGCCTCCCGGAGGAGGCGGCGGCCGCTCCCCCGCCTCGGAGCGCCGGGGCCCGGGCCCGGCCCGCAGCGAGTCCCCGCGCGCCTGCCGGCACAGCGGGGCGCGCTGGCCAGGGAGCGGGGCGCACGCACCCGACGGGGCGCCCCGGCGCGACCAGGGCGGCTACTACCGCGGCTCCGACTACGACGAGGCCGACGGGCCGGGCGGCGGGGAGGAGCCGGGGCTCGGGCCGCCCCCCAGCGCCCGGCACGCGTGCCCCGGGGCCCCCGCGCACTCGCCCAGGACTCCCCGGGCCGCGGGGCGGCCGTGCGCGCCCCAGTCCCGGCACGGCCGGAGACTCCCCAACGGCTACTACCCGGCCCAAGGACTGGCCCGGCCGCGCGGGCCCCCCGCCCGCAAAGGGCTGCGCGAAGCCTACAGCGAGACGGACGACGATTGGTGCTAAGCCCGGGCAGGGGGACCCCCGCGCCCGCCCGGCCTCCCCCACGCACCCCACGCACACGCCCCCCGCGGGGAGAAGCCGCGCCCGCCCCGCGCGCGGAGGGGCCCCCTCGCATCCCCGACGGGACCGTCCTATGACCTTCCGCCCCCCACCTCCCCGGACTCTGGAGGACCAGGGAAGGGGATTGGGGGCGCGCACCCGGGGGGACCCCAAGCCGACTGGGTTGAAGGGGCACACACGCACGCCTGAGCAGTAAGGGCGGGGTGGGGACATGGGGTGCAGTCCCGCCTCCCACCCCCAACCCGGCCCTGACCCGCACCCCCACACCGCCACGACGGAGGGTGGGGAGGGGCACCTCGGTGGACCCCGGGGTGGGGGCGGGGGGCAGGGCAGACAAACCACCCAGCCTACACGGGTTCGAATTAACTCAGCCATTTTTGGAGAACTTGGGAGGGAGGGGGGAGGGATGAAAACAAAACAAAAACAAAAAAAAAAAAAAGAAAGAAAAGAAAACAAAAAAAGCATTTTTAAAAAGAAAAAAATGGGGAGAAAAAACACTGTCGCTTCTATTGATGAGTTTTATCATCTGAATTGAGTCTGTCCTTGTCCCGGTAACTTGCTGGTGGCCCGCGGGAGAAGCTGCCGCGCAAGCGCAGAGACCCTCTGAGACCCCCCCAGACCCCAATCTCGTTCTCAGACACACACGGAGTGCTTGCTGGTTATACCAAACTCTACTATTTACTGCCTGCAGAAATCAATCTACCAACAAATAAACCATTTGAAAAAGGACAAAAAATTTAACGATTGAGAAAAGAAGCATTTTTTTCCTGACATTTGGTCCTGCTTGAAATAACAAAAGAAAAAAAAAAGAAGAAGAAAAAAAAAAAACACCAACACTGATTCCCTTGGCTTCTTTTTTCCTTTTTCCTACCTTGTTTGATAACTGTGGGCTTGGGACTGTGAATTCTTGCATGGCATTCAAAAAGAATAAAATATTAAAAAAAAAAAAGTTGAATCCCAGGGCTTTGGGGCCAGAGTCCTCGTCATCCTTTCCTCAGGGATTTCGGCTGGCTGCGGGAAGGTCCCGGGATGTGGCCCTGATGACAGGGGATCCTCTCACCTGCACAGGCTGCAGCCGGCAGGCCTGGAGCACGGTGCTTGCTGCGAGCGCCAGCGTTGGGTTCGATCCCCAAGCACCCCCCCCAAGGTGCCAGGGGCCCCATCAGAAAGTGACCCCCAGGTGCACAGCCAGGACCAGCCACGGCCACTGGGCAGCACCCCCGACCTCAGGGATGTCCATCTAAGCAAGCTTGACCTCGGGTCTTGGCCTCTTGGGGACGTGCAGTCACGCCCAGGACCTGGGCCTCACCCACTGCCCGGTCCACAGGCTGACCGCCTAGCGAGTGGCTTTTCACCTCCGCCTTGGAGCCGGACTGAGCCACACCCAGGGACTCGGGGGCCACTCTGCCTGAGCAGGAGCTGGACGCAGCCTAAGTGCTGGCCACCCGCTGTGTCTCCCTGGCCCTTCATAAAGGTCTCGAATCACGGTTGCCCCGCGGCCCATGACCCCGGTCCTTCATGGCTGGCGGCTCGCTCTCCCCACAGGTCTCTCTCCCAGACATACAGGGTGCCAGGGACTGAACCCGACTCAGCGACTGACACCTTTGCTCCAACCTCAGCACAGGAAACGGGGGCTCTTGGGGCTGGAGCAATAGCACAGCAGATAGGGCATTTGCCTTGCATGCGGCCGACCCGGGTTCAATTCCCAGCAACCCATATGGTCCCCCTAGCACCAGGAGTAATTCCTGAGTGCATGAGCCAGGAGGAACCCCTGTGCAACGCTGGATATGACCCCCCCAAAAAAAGAAAATGGGGGTTCCATGTCAATCAGAGTAGGGGGTGCCCTCATAACGGTGGGGTGATAGGGATAATGGGGTAGGGGCTAACCATACAGGAAATCTAAAAAAGGGGGGGTTTCGAACTGAGGCAGAGAGAGCAACTTCAGTGCTCGGCATGATGAGACAAGAGAACAGCAAAAGAGAGAGAGAGAGAGAGAGAGAGAGAGGAAAAAGAAAATTAAAAAAATTAATAGCCTTGGGGCTGGAGAGATAGCACATCGGGTAGGGTGTTTGCCTTGCACACGGCCGACCCGGGTTCGATTCCCAGCATCCCATATAGTCCCCCATATAGCACCGCCAGGAGTAACTCCTGAATGCACAGCCAGGAGTAACCCCTGTGCATCGCCAGGTGTGACCCAAAAAGCAAAAAAATAAAAAATGAATCGCCTTGCTCAGGCACTCCTCAGGGTTCTCAGAAACAAATGGGGGAGTCACCCCGAACCCCAGATCAAATAAAGAGGCTCAGCGGAGGTCAGTACCAGGGCAGGAGTGGACCATCTGTCTCATAACTGGCACTTCTGCAGCTCACGGCTTCACTCCACCCTTTGGGAGTTACCAGGTGAAACTCTTCAGTGCTCCTCCCTCAAGCCAGATGCAGGCTTCGGACATCCCATACGTGGGGGCAACAGGACTCTGGCTAAGAGAAATGGTCACACTCAGAAATGTGGGGTGATGGGGTTTGGGGATGTTTAAGAAACAGGAAACGTTTAAGAAAAGAGTGGGAGGAAGACAGTTACAAGAAAGGCACTTGCCTGTGGCCAGCCAGGTTCATTCCCACACATCCTTTAGAAGTTTGTTTGTTTGTTTGTTTGTTGGTGTCACGTTCAGCAATGCTCAGAGGTTACTCTTGACTCTGCACTCAGGAATCACTCCTGGCGGTGCTCAGGGAACCATATGGAATGCTGGGATTGAACCCAGGTCAGTCGCATGCAAAGCGGGTGGTCTACCCGCTGTGCTATAGCTCCAGTCCCTCTCTAGGGTGTTCTGAGCACCCCTTAGAGTGGCATTGAGATGTTATGGCCTCTGACACCCCAAACATGAGTGACTTGCTGGGACAGTACTGGAGGGGGGGCTGCGGCGGTGGACAAGGATCAGGCTCCCCTCGGCACAGAGATGAGAGGGTCCTGGGGAGCTATGGCAGGTTCTGGGGGAAGTCAGTACCAGCAGTGGACATTTCTGAGAGAAACGTCCCTGGGGAGTGACAGAAAATCCCCACAGCACCCTCTCATGGCGTTAGAGGGGAAATGCCCTGGCCCAAGTTTCACACACTTAAGATTTCCAGCTCCTGAATTTGCTTCAGTGGAAGGTGATGGAAGCAAGATTCAGTCCAGTAACCCCCCGAGTTTGCTATGAAGGAATCCTCGGTGAAAGGCTTTTGTTTGTGTTTCGGGGACCACACCCGGAAATATTCAGGGGTTACTCCTGACCCTGCACTCAAGAATCACTCCTGACGGTGCTTGGGGAACAGAATGACTGCAGGGATAGAACCTGGCTGTCCCATCCAAGACAAGCGCCCTCCAGGCTCAGTATTCGATCTATTGCCGTAGGCTGCGTGCTTGATCCTTAATGACCCCATATCTAACATTGACGCAAAGAAAAGGGCTGGAAATCTTAAGCGTGGAAAAGTCGGGCCGCGTCAGTTCCACCAAAATGCCACGAGGTGGCGCTTTGGGTGTTTCCGTTTCTCCCCAGGCCCGGTTCGCTAAGAAATCTCCACCCTTGAGTTTGCTTCTTGTTTGGAGGTTCTAGCAGGGGAGCGCAGCTACTCGTATACCCTCGACCTAAGACCAGTCCATCTCTATCGGGGAAGGCCGTCCTCTTCGACCCAGCGCGCAGCTTCGGGAGGGACGCACATGGAGCGGTGAGGGAAGAAGGGGACACCCGCCTAGCCAGCCAGATCAGCCGAATCAACCCTGGCGATCAGTGGGGTGACAGATGTCGCAGCCAGATGGCCCTCACATGGCTGGAGTGATAGCAAAGCGGTAGGGCATTTGCCTTGCAGGCAGCCAACATGGACAACCCGAGTTCGATTCCTCCGACCCTTTCAGAGAGCCCAGCAAGCTACCGAAAGTATCTCGCCCGCACGGCAGAGCCTGGCAAGCTACCCGTGATGTATTCGATATGCCAAACACAGTAACAACAGTCTCCAATGGAGATGTTACTGGGCCCGCTCGAGCAAATCGATGAACAACGGGAGGACCGTGACCGTGACCGTGAGTTTGCTTCAATGTTAGGTATGGGCTAATTAAGGATCAAGCACGCAGGAGCTTCAATCCCTGCAGCGGTCGTATAGCGATTAGGGCTCTTGCCTTGCATTCAGGGGATCCTGGTCATTCGTAGGCTCCCCATATGATCCCCAGACATGCCAGGAGTGATTAATGAGTACAGAGCCACGAGTCATCCCTGAGCATCATCAATTGTGGCCCTCAAACCATAAACAAACAAGAAAACAAATATCCTCAGTTTTTTTTTGTTTGGTGTTTTGCTTTTTAGGTCACACCCGGCGATGCTCAGGGATTACTCCTGGCTCTGCACTCAGGAATTACTTCTGGCGGTACTTGGGGGACCATATGGGATACTGGGACTCGAACCTGGATTGGCCGCGTGCAAGGCAAACACCCTACCCACTGTGTTACCACTCCAGTCCCCTAGCCTCAGTTTTAATGTCAACAGAAACCTGCACATGCAAGCTTGGTGTATACTGAGCTGAATCTTGCTTTCACACTCTCTTTCAAAGGGCTCAGGGTAGGGAGCACCCTCAGGAATGCGGGGCGTAGGGCTGTGGCGGCCACACGAACAGGAAACACTTATAAAGAGGTTCTGCCAGACACATAGCACAGCAGTTCCCAATTGCCTTGCTCAGAGACAAGAGCACATAGAAATTCTCATTACATTTTTTTTTTTTGGCCTTTTGGGTCACATCCGGCGATGCACAGGGGTTACTCCTGGCTCATGCACTCAGGAATTACTCCTGGCAGTGCTCAGGGGACCATATGGGATGCTGGGAATCGAACCCGGGTTGGCCGTGTGCAAGGCAAACACCCTACCCGCTGTGCTATCACTCCATCCCCATCTCATTACATTTTTCAAAATATTTGTCTTGCTGGTGGCAGACGAGGTACAGTACCAGACACTGCTAACGGTTCCCAGAGTCCCTCGGGCCCACCCGAACCCACAAGAAAATGTAAAAATTCTTGGCAGAGGGGTGTA